AGGTGGCCAAAGTATTGGGAGTCTCAGCTTCAGGATCTGTCCTTCCAGTGAGCACTCAGGGCTGATTTCCTTAAGAATGGATAGGTTTGATCTTCTTGCAGTCCATGGGACTCTCAAGAGTCTCCTCCAGCACCAGAATTCAAAAGCATCAATTCTTCGGGGATCAGTCTTCTTTATGGTCCAGCTCTCACTTCCATACATCACTACTGGGAAAACCATAGCTTTTACTATACGGACTTTTGTTGGCAGGGTGATGTCTCTGATTTTTAAGATGCTGTCTAGGTTTGTCATTGCTTTTCTCCCAAGAAGCAGGCGTCTTTTAATTTCGTGGCTGCTGTCACCATCTGCAGTGATCATGAAGCCCAAGAAAGTAAAATCTCTCACTGCCTCCATTTCTTCCCCTTCTATTTGCCAGGAGGTGATGGAACCAGTGGCCATGATCTTCGTTTTTTTGATGTTGAGCTTCAGACCATATTTTGCGCTCTCCTCTTTCACCCTCATTAAAGGGTTCTTTAATTCCTCCTCACTTTCTGCCATCAAGGTTGTAAGGCATCAATTACACAGGTGTAATTATGATGCAGCCGCCGTGAACCTCACCTCCAGGCCTCCTGACACACCTTGCCTGCTTTCCCACACCCTCTCTTTGTGGCGGCAAAAAAACCTGTCCGATGAGAACCACGATGATTGCTACATGTACTTCATTGCCTTTTCACAAGCCCAGAACGTTTTAATCCATGGCGCCGACTCTTCCTTCGTTCCCTTTCTTGGGTTCCTTTGAATGTTTCGCAGCTGGAAGGTGCAACCGAATCTGGCTTCCAGATGTGTTAGCAAAAACACTCATTGCCAAGTTTCTAGATCTCATGGTCCCGGAGAAAAATCTTGAACCGAGGAGTGTTGGTGGGTCAGTGTGCCGGGCTGTTAACCAGAAGGTTGGTGGTTCAAGCCCACCCAAAGACAGCTGTGGACAGGATTTCTGTGCCACAGAGGGTTGAGCTAGATGACCCTCACCCTCAGGGGTTCCCACCCTAGGATGATGTCAAATGATGTCACTAGGGATGGAAAAGTCACTTAAACTCATCTGGTTTCTCATTTTTACAATCCTAAATTCAGTTCCCCACATCTTGTAGCAATGTTGTGAGATATATACCATATTTTTCGCTCTATAAGACACACCTTTTCCCTCCTAAAAAGTAAGGGGAAATGTGTGTGCGTCTTATGGAGCGAATGCAGGCTGCGTGACTAAGCCAGAAGACAGAACAGTGAGAGGGAGCGCTGCCTAGCGTTCCCTCTTGCTGTTCTGTCTTCTGTCTTAGCCATGCGAAGCCTCCGCAGGGCACGGGGAGCCTTTATCCCGCTGCCCTGCGGAGGTTTCGTGCGGCTAGCCGTGGCTCTTGCTGGAGGTGGGGGAAGTGACGGAGCGTGGCTCTCTCACTTCCCCCACCTCCCGCAAAAGCCCCCAAGAGCCACGCTCCCTTTAAAGAGCCACGCAGAACGTGCGTGCGGCTCTTGGGGGCTTTTCCCTGAGGAGAGAGAAGGATTTTTTTTTCTTGCATTCCCCCTCTAAAAACTAGGTGCGCCTTATGGTCAGGTGCGTCTTATGGAGCGAAAAATACGGTAGATAGCTATAACAGCTATATCCTCATGAAGACTCATCAGCAAATTTCTCTACTTCATTTGTTTAATTTATTGACTTGCTTTGTTGCTTGATTGATAACATGTTTATTTACCGCTATGAGAATGATCAAAGCACTTTGCAGTAATATCTACATATATTTAAAAACAAATTAGAAATGTATATTGTTCTTTAAGGGAGGTGACCAGAGCTGTACACAGCACTCCAAGTGTGGTTGTACCACAGATACAACAACAACAACAATAACAACAACAACAACAACAACAACAACATTATTTGTACCCTGCTCATCTGACTGTGTTGCTCCAGCCACTCTGGGCAGCTTCCAACATATATAAAAACATAATAAAACATTAGACCTTAAAAAGCTTCCCTATATCTTTATGGCAGACTGGCAGTTTTATTTTCAATTCCCCTCTGCAAAGGAACAGACTTTGTCTTTTTCACAATTGTCATACACTGGGGTGACATTTTCATCAAGCGAATTGCCATGAAACCCTGAGATCCCTTTCCTGCCAAATGTTCAAGAGTATTTGTATTTATTTATTTTTTTAAAAAAGTTCAAATCACAAATTGCGGCAGAAATGTGGCCCCTTCCTTTCCCCCTGCCACCAACTGCCACCACAGGGATATTTGAAGGACAAGTAGCAAAGAAGCATTAAAAGCTTTCCCCTTAACAAACAAGTTGTCTTTTCCATTCTTTCATAACTTAAAACAACAAACAAAAAGCAACCGATGCCTTTTGTTGTAATAATCTTCTGCAAACTGCTCTATGAGCTCCACCTGATAAGTGGTATTTGCATACTGCAAGTAAATAAATGGAGAGGACTGATGTGGACAGCTCAATCCATCCCTACATAGCCTGTGGGTATTCTAATACAGTTAAAAAAAACACTGTATAAACAGTTAAGAACATTCTGGAAGTCTCAAGGGGTGAGGCAGGAAAAGATGGCAAGCGTGATAGGGTGACTGAAGGACAAGCAAAGAAACGTTTAAACATTTCAGTGTAGTATATATATTTGCAGAATATGGATAGATACCTTTTCAAAACGAGAGCAACAGCATCAAATGATCCTGAGTACGATCTTTTCCTTCCGATTATATTTTATTAAGTTTCAACATACGCAATCAAAACACAATTTCACCTTTTCTCTCATTTTTGTCGACTTCCCGCCTCTTTTTCCACAGAGTTGCTGTTTCTCTCCTTCTGCTGCATCCTACCTTCTGTCTATCAAATCATAACTGCAGTACAGTGGTACCTCGGGTTACATATGCTTCAGGTTACATACGCTTCAGGTTACAGACTCCTCTAACCAGAAATAGTACCTCGGGTTAAGAACTTTGCTTCAGGATGAGAACAGAAATCGTACTCTGGCGGCGCAGCGGCAGCAGGAGGCCCCATTTGCTAAAGTGGTGCTTCAGGTTAAGAACAGTTTCAGGTTAAGAACGGGCCTCCGGAACGAATTAAGTACTTAACCTGAGGTACCACTGTATTATAATCAAATGACTTCTGTTGCTCCACAGCTCAAATCCTGCCCGTGAGTTCGCCATACTGTAATATTTCTTCAAATTGTCCGAGAAAGACGTCCGTTCTTCTCCTGAGGACAATCCTAGTTGTGATCCGGAACCGCTGTTCGAACAGAGTCCAGCCTCCTGTTCTCACAGCGGCCAACCGGATACCCATGAGAAACCCACAAGCAGAATTCGATCACAAGAGCTCTCTCCCCTCCTGTGGCTTCCAGCAACCAGTATTTGGAAGCACTGCCACCGTGGCCAGAGCACAGCCACCGTGGCCAGTAGCCATCAATAGGCCTCTCTCCTCCATAAGTAATAATAATAATATCATCATCATCATCATCATCATCATCATCATAACAATAATTTATCATTTATACCCCGCCCATCTGGCTGGGTTTCCCCAGCCACTCTGGGCGGCTTCCAACAAAACACTAAAATACAATAACCTTTTAAACATTAAAAGTTTCCCTAAACAGGGCTGCCTTCAGATGTCTTCTAAAAGTTTGGTAATTATTTTTCTCTTTGACATCTGGTGGGAGGGCGTTCCACAGGGCGGGTGCCACTACCGAGAAGGCCCTTTGCCTGGTTCCCTGTAACTTTGCTTCTTGCAGTGAGGGAACTGCCAGAAGGCCCTCGGTGAGGGACCTCAGTGTCCGGGCAGAACGATGGGGGTGGAGACGCTCCTTCAGGTATACTGGACCGAGGCTGTTTAGGGCTTTAAAGGTCAACACCGACACTTTGAATTGTGCTCGGAAACGTACCGGGAGCCAGTGTAGGTCTTTCAAGACCGGTGTTATATGGTCTCGGTAGCCGCTCCCAATCACCAGTCTAGCTGCCGCATTCTGGATTATTTGTAGTTTGTGGGTCACCTTCAAAGGTAGCCCCACATAGAGCGCATTGCAGTAGTCCAAGCGGGACATAACCAGAGCATGCACCACTCTGGCGAGACAGTCTGCAGGCAGGTAGGGTCTCAGCCTGCGTACCAGATGGAGCTGGTAGACAGCTGCCCCGGACACAGAATTGACCTGCGCCTCCATGGACAGCTGTGAGTCCAAAATGACTCCCAGGCTGCACACCTGGTCCTTCAGGGGCACAGTCACCCCATTCAGGACCAGGGAGTCCTCCACACCAGCCCGCCCCCTGTCCCCCAAGAACAGTACTTCTGTCTTGTCAGGATTCAACCTCAATCCATTAGCCGCTATCCATCCTCCAACTGCCTCCAGGCACTTGTACAGGATGTTCACTGCCTTCACTGGTTTCTCTAATTCCCTTTCAAAGTCACCTGAGTTGGCAGCCGTCATGGCCTCCTGTGGGAGGGAGTTCCGAAGTCTAACTGTACGCAGTGTAAATAAGAACTTCCTTTTATGTGTCCTGAATCTTCATTGGATGTCCCCAAATTCTAGTGTTATGAGAGAGGGAGAAACGCTTTTTTATAGCCACTTTTTCCATGCTGTGCATCATTTTAAAAACTCCTGCTGTGTCACCTCTCAGGAGAACAGCTACCTTTCAGAGTTCCTAAACTGTATTCTTCCCGACAGTGCAAGTGGACACAATTCCACCTAGGCACTTTCCTTTATTAAATCCCCACTAGAGAAAACTGGAAATTCAAGGAGGGAGACCAATCTATCCCTGGTGAGTCAGGAAGACCCTGCAGTTCCACGGCCGAGTTTACAGCCTTGCAGTTTGCCTCAGCTTTTAATTTAAAAGCAGGCCTCTGCCCTGAAAATTTGGGGGTTTTTTTTCTCTGCCTAAGACTTGGAATGAGCAGGTCTGTGTGGCCCTGCGGCGAGGCAGAACTCCTGCTTCCACAACTCTGGGCGCGTCGGAGAAAGCGCTTGCGACACCAGGCCCCAATTCCCAGAGGAATTGCAGATCCAAAACGGGGGGAACCAGGTTTCATCAGGAGTGGATTTTCCTGTTGAGCCAGACGGGCGGGATCCCTCCCACTGATGCTTGCCAGATCCACCAGCCAGTTGCTCTCAGGTGTTTCAGGATCCCGGGGAGCCACGCAAGGGAACTGGGTTCTGGAAGCATCAAGACTGAGCCAGGGGTCCTCCGTCTCGCATCTGTGGCGGACAAACAGGTGAGTTGGGGCAGGGGTTGTCGCAGAGAGTGGGGGACAGGGCCTGGATTCCATCTTTCCCACATGGGAGAGAAAGCTGCTATTGAATTTCTTCTCCTGGCTAAGAAAATCACCGCATCTGGTTTTTTTTTTATTCTTATTTTGTAGAATTCTAAGGTCTCAAATATATATATATATAATTCATAAATGTACAAGGCAAACAGATACATAAGTATATAAACCACATGTCTGAAATAGTACAGGAGAGCATCTGGGGGTTTTGAGCTTGAGAGAAAAAGCAAGTAAGAGCTCACATTTTGGACTCACAGCTGTCTATGGAGGCACAGAAAAGGAAGTTCTTACAGTGGTACCTCAGGTTAAGTACTTAATTCGTTCCGGAGGTCCGTACTTAACCTGAAACTGTTCTTAACCTGAAGCACCACTTTAGCTAATGGGGCCTCCTGCTGCTGCTGTGCCGCCAGAGCACGATTTCTGTTCTCATCCTGAAGCCAAGTTCTTAACCTGAAGCACTATTTCTGGGTTATCGGAGTGTGTAACCTGAAGCATATGTAACCTGAGGTACCACTGTATTTACACTGCGTATAGTAAGGGCATGAATTCGAGCCATTTCCCCCTTGCCGCACTCCTTTCACAGGGAAAACCCACTCTTAGCTCGGAGCAATGTCAGCCTGGAGAAAACCCAAACTGAGCACTAAAGAGCTGGTTTCCCCCTAGGAAACAGGGGGTGGGGGCAGGAAGAGAAATGGGACGTAAGGAAGTGTGGATGAACTCTTAAGAGGCGACACAGCAGAAGGTGCATGTCTTTTACTGCTTCTTTTAATTTTTCCCAATTACCTTACGGAACTCCCTGTCGCAGGAGAAAGGGATGGCTTCCAACTTGGAATGGCTTTGAAAGTGGATTAACGGAGGCAGATTAGCAGAGACAAAGGCCACTGATGGCTGCTAAGCTCTCCAACTATATCCACCTCCACGGTCAGAGGCAGTAATGCTTCTGAATATAATTTTCTTGAAAATACAGAAGGGGAGATTTGCTGTTCCCCTCAGGTCCTGCTTGTGGGATTCTCATTGGGGCGAGTGGTGTTGGGGGATGAGTGTTCAGACCCCTGGGCTCTCACTTGTGGGGTGCCTCAGGGCTCCGTCCTCTCCCCCATGCTTTTTAACATCTATATGAAACCGCTGGGAGAGATCGTCAGGGGGTTTGGGCTGGGTGTTCATCAGTATGCAGATGATACCCAGCTCTACCTCTTTTTAAAATCAGAACCAGTGAAGGTCCTTTGTGAGTGCCTGGAGGTGGTTGGAGGATGGATAGAGGCTGAATCCTGACAAGACAGGAGGACTGTTTTGGGGGGACAGGGGGCAGGCTGGTGTGGAGGATTCCCTGGTCCTGAATGGGGTAACTGTGCCCCTGAAGGATCAGGTGTGCAGCCTGGGAGTCATTTTGGACTCACAGCTGTCCATGGAGGCGCAGGTCAATTCTGTGTCCAGGGCAGCTGTCTACCAGCTCCACCTGGTACGCAGGCTGAGACCCTACCTGCCCGCGGACTGTCTTGCCAGAGTGGTGCATGCTCTAGTTATCTCCCACTTGGACTACTGCAATGCGCTCTACGTGGGGCTACCTTTGAAGGTGACCCAGAAACTACAACTCATCCAGAATGCGGCAGCTAGACTGGTGACTGGGAGCGGCCACCGAGACCATATAACACCGGTCTTGAAAGACCTACACTGGCTCCCAGTACGTTTCCGAGCACAATTCAAAGTGTTGGTGCTGACCTTTAAAGCCCTAAACGGCCTCGGTCCCGTATATCTGAAGGAGCGTCTCCACCCCCATCGTTCTACCCGGACAATGAGGTCCAGCTCCGAGGGCCTTCTGGCGGTTCCCTCACTGCGAGAAGCCAAGTTACAGGGAACCAGGCAGAGGGCCTTCTCGGTAGTGGCACCCGCCCTGTGGAACACCCTCCCACCAGATGTCAAAGAGAAAAATAATTACCAAACTTTTAGAAGACATCTGAAGGCAGCCCTGTACAGGGCAGTTTTTAAAAAATGTTTTATTATGTTTTTATATATGTTGGAAGCCACCCAGAGTAGCTGGGGTAACCCAGTGAGATGGGCGGGGTATAAATATTATTATTATTATTATTATTATGGAATAGGATGTCCCTATTTTCATCAGAGAAATGTTGGAGGGTATGCTAACCTACCTCACAGGGTTGTTGTGAGGATAAAATGGGGAGGGGGGAGAGATTTATATGTGCCACCTTGAGTTCCTTGGGGTGGGGGAAGTAGGCTATAAATTTAATAAGTACAGTGGAACCTCGGGTTAAGAACTTAATTTGTTCTGGAGGTCCGTTCTTAACCTGAAACTGTTCTTAACCTGAAGCACCACTTTAGCTAATGGGGCCTCCTGCTGCCGCTGTGCTGCCGGAGCACGATTTCTGTTCTCATCCTGAAGCAAAGTTCTTAACCCGAGGTAATATTTCTGGGTTAGCGGAGTCTGTAACCTGAAGAGTATGTAACCTGAAGCGTATGTAACCCGAGGTACCACAGTACATAAATAATCTGATCCACAAACCATGGGGGTCCTTGTCCCAAATCAGCAGACCACGAAATACAACCATCTAATTTTCCCCTAGCCTAGCCTAAAACCTTTGAAGTCTTTTTGCCTTCCTAGAGCAGGAAGGCTATCCTCTGATCATCTGATGTTGTCTGCGCCTTTTCTCGAACCCTTGGCCAGTGGTGGTGTCACAAAAAGCAACAGATGCCTTGCTCCGTTTCCCTGGTGCTGCAAAAAAAAGCATGTGCTGATTGCATCTGCACAATCACCGCAGTGTTGACTTTGATCCTGAGATTGTAAGCTTAGTGGGGCAGGGACCTGTTCTCTTAATCCATTTCGCAATTCATTGCTTGATTGTAAGGAAACCGCAAAGCAATTACTAGGACTTCCAAGGAGACTCTCTGTACTTTGGAAAGCTGAGCCGCTATAGAGCAGATCAGGGAAATACCGGTCCCTCCTTTTTTGCAGCTGGAGGGCTGCACTCACTTCTCCACAACCATCCGAGGGCCACTTGCCAGCGGCGGGAGGGGCCAGAGACAAAAGTGGGAGGTTTTTATATTTGTGCAATAGGCTAGCTTTTTCACACTCACACTTCCCTCTATCCAGAGGCGCCGAGTTCTGTGCAGCATGCGGGGGCGGGGGGCGGAGCTTGTCGAATGCACATGATGTCACACGTATGACACACACGTGTGACATCACACCTGGCGGGAGGAAGTCTTCCTTTGTTCTAGATATAATTTTATAGTGTTGTGAAAACTTCAATAACAATTTGTAGAAGGAGGCTGCAAGTCCCTACAGGGCCCTCCACTGCTATGGGGAGGACCTGCGGGGACCGGTCTGGGCCCTCAAGATTGTGGGGGGGTCAGGCCCATCTCCACATATTTTGGGGGGTCTTTCTTTCTTTCTTTCTTTCTTTCTTTCTTTCTTTCTTTCTTTCTTTCTTTCTTTCTCTCTCTCTCTCTCTCTCTCTCTCTTCCAGCCAGGCAAAGCATCCATTCCAACCAAGCCCATACCGTTAAGGGTGGGTGTGTGGGTGTGGGTGTATATGTATGTGTGCCAAGCAGAATCAATGAGGGATCTGACCTTGGAAGGATCCCCCAAAAGAGGAGGGGGATGCAGAAGAAGGACCATAGCTCATTGGCAAAGCATCTGCTTTGTATGCAATCCCAGGCATCTCTACGTTGGGCTGGAGAATGAATTTTATTATTACGGTCACAGACCAGTTCCGGCTCACTTACAATATCGGAAAAATCATAAAACACAACAGGAATACATTGGATTGCGATTGGGTTTAACAGAGACACTTCCGATATAACAGCAGTTAAAAATATACATTAAATCTTGATCACTAAAATATAACCTAAAATTGTCATTTAAAACCGTAATCATTTTGGTAGTACAGCCTGTTCCCTAAGTTGGAAGCTGGAGAAAGACTCCTTTCCTAAGACCCTGGAGAGCTCTTGCCACTCAGTGTGGACGATGCAGAGCTCGCCGGACAAATGATCTCATGGAGCCCAAGGCAGCTTCCAATGCAGATTAAAAACTTTTCTGCCTCTCTCCTAGCACTGGAACTCACAGTCATCCACTGCAGGTGAGCGCTGGCAGATTTTTATTCCCCCCCCCCAAAAAAAAAGATTTATTAGTTTTCTCTTATAAAACACAGACAAAAACACAAAAGAAAAACATTACATTTGACACAACATAAAAACTTAACAACAGTAAAAACACACAAAATAAAAGAAGAATTTTTTCCTTCTTATTCCTTGGTGTATTTACATGGCTAAAAGACTTCCTTGACACCCTCCAGTCTGGATTTCATCATATCACATATTTAGCAGTTCCCAATTTCCTATTTATAACATCAGTATCTTCTGAACAGGGACGCGGGTGGCGCTGTGGGTTAAACCACAGAGCCTAGGACTTGCCAATCAGAAGGTCGGCGGTTCGAATCCCTGTGACGGGGTGAGCTCCTGTTACTCGGTCCCAGCTCCTGCCAACCTAGCAGTTCGAAAGCACCTCAAAGTGCAAGTAGATAAATAGGTACCGCTCTGGCGGGAAGGTGAACGGTGTTTCCGTGCGCTGCTCTGGTTCACCAGAAGCGGTTTAGTCATGCTGGCCACATGACCCGGAAACTGTTCGTCGGCTCCCTCGGCCAATAAAGCGAGATGAGCGCCGCAACCCCAGAGTCGGCCACGACTGGACCTAATGGTCAGGGGTCCCTTTACCTTTACCTTTGAGTTGGTGATGCCAGGTGACGCTGACCATATTGAGCACAATTAGAATCTTGCTTGTGGGTTTCCCAGAAGTGGCTTGGCCACTGTGAAAACAGGATACTGGACTAGACGGGCCCTTGGCCTGATCCTGCAGGATCTTCCTAGGTTCTTATATTTAGCTACTGTCATTCTTGGAGAACTGAACTGAAGCCCGAGGGGTGGGAGAAACTTGGAGGATCAAAAGAGACAGGTTGGTCCACTTGCATGTTCTTCCATCTACGGATTCAGCCTTCAGAGCAGCAGAACACAGAACTAATACTCCTCTTTAGGGAAGTTTTTAATGTTTAATGCTGTGTATTGTGTTTTAATATTCGGTTGGGAACCGCCCAGAGTGGCTGGGGAAACCCAGCCAGATGGGCAGGGTATAAATAATATATTATTACTATTATTATAATTATTATTCTAGCACTTTCCCATAGTTACTCCTATCCTGCTTTGAACCCCATAGCCTCCAACATTTCTCTGATGAAAATAGGAACATCCTATTCCAGGCTTCCTCAACATCGGCCCTCCAGATGTTTTGAGACTACAATTCCCATCATCCCTGACCACTGGTCCTGCTACCTAGGGATCATGGGAGTTGTAGGCCAAAAACATCAGGAGGGCCGAGGTTGAGGAAGCCTGTCCTATTCAACAACAACAATAACAACAACAACAACAACAACAACAACAACAACAATAATAATATCCTGCCCATCTGACTGTGTTGCCCCAGCCACTCTAGGTGGCTTCCAACATATATAAAAACAGAATTAAACATTAAAAAGTGAGATACGTCTCTACACAGGGCTGCCTCCAGATGTCTTCTAAAGGTTGTATAGTTACTTATCTCCTTGGCTTGGGGTTCACATACCTCCATACCCTCCAATCTTTCTCTGATGAAAATAGGGATGTGCTAAGGAGAAGCGGGACATTCTGGGATCAAATCAGAAAACGGGACGGCTTCTGTAAATCCAGGACTGTCCCTGGCAAATAGGGGCACTTGGAGGGTCTGCAAGACCGGCCCACTCACGAGACAAGGTGCAGCAACTGCCTCTGGAGGCAGGTACCACCAGGGCAGCAGATCCCGATGTTGATCTTTCCTCCCCGCTTTCTCCTGATGCAGATCTTCCCAAACCCCTTCTTCGCTGGTGGGGAAGGAGGCTGTTATTTTGGGGGTCCACCTCAGGTGGCAAATTGTCTTGGGCCAGCCCTGTTTGCACCTGCAGACTGCCTGGGGAAAATATTCTCCCAGCCACCCTCTCCCTCTCATCCTCCTACGCCAGCCACACCTTAGGGCCTCCTTGGCCCATCCCAACAGACACAGGCGTATTTGTTGTTGCCTAATGCTGTAGCAACTTGCCCTCCAGTCGGAGCGGTTGCCATCTTGTTTCAACTGGTCCTGCTCCTCTGCCTCTTAATGGACGCCTGGCAGACAGAAACTAAGCCAGAGAAGCTCTTCCTCATCACTTCCTTTTATGTGCTCTGATGTCTGTCCGGCGCTTGCCACAGCTGATTTGCATCCCTTCCTTACAAACAAAAAAAAAAAAAGGCAAAAAAGCATGGGCACCATATATTTGAATAGCATCGTTTTCCCTTCCCTGCAAAGACTCATGGGAAGTGTAGTTTATACCTCACAGAGCTCCATTTCCCAGCACCCTTAACAAACTACCGCTCCCAGGATTCTCTGGAAGGAAATCATGTGTTTTAATGTGTTTTAGATGGACCCTGTGTGCAGCCACACACTGCTGAGCATCAGTCAAGGTGGTTTGCCTGATCCAAGCAGAGAAATGCCTCTAACCCGGATTCCTGTTTCCAACAGGGGACAGCCAAAGTGCTTCTGGAAAACAAATGCTGAATGCCCTCATGCTATGCTGATTCTTCTCTTCTTTTTTTTTCTTTTAAAAAAAGCATTTTTTCTTCCTAATGCGCATGAATGTTAAAGGGAGCACGAGTATTCAGCTTAAAAGGAACAAGGAGCTGTCAAATTGAAACGTTTGGGACCTCTGTTGGCAAGCAGTGAGTTAACAGTTGCGCAGCACGCGATGGCCAAAAGGGGGTGGGTTTATGCAAATATCACACCAATGGCCGTCGAGCTGACCTAACAGACGGCTGAGAAATGGATAAAATCAACAGAATCCAGTATTTTTGAGATTAAACTGCCCATCAAAAGGCTGGTGCGTTGGGCAACAGAAGCAGAAACGTTGCCCGAGCATGTTTTGTGGAACTGGAAACGGTGCTGATTCCGTGGGGGCGGTGAGCTCTTTGCAGAACTAGATGCTCCCCGACAGCGCAAAAGGCATCGGGAAAGCAGACCTGCTTAATTTTTGTTCAGCTTGGTATCGCTTCTCGGCCTTTTGGCTAAGATCAAGTGTAGTATCTGTTCTTATCAGTTTAATATCTGATATGTCCTCTATTTGAGGACTATATATTAAATGGATTTTTGGAGCTGGGAGATGGAATAGGGGCTTGCTCCATCCACTCCATGCATCGACCTGGTATTGCAGTACCTCCAGGAACGGTGCACCTCCCTCTGGGGGGAATATTGCTGGTGCGAAAAAAAGATCAAAAGAAGTCTAACGTTTTTGTAACCTTGTATAGTGACGGCGGGTGGTGCTGAGCCTAGGGCTTGCCGATCAGAGATGGGGTGAGCTCTGTTGCTGGTCCCTCCTCCTGCCTATCTAGCAGTTCCAAAAGCACCTCAAAGTGCAAGTAGATAAATAGGTACCACTCCGGTGGGAAGGTAAACGACTGGACCTAATGGTCAGGGGTCCCTTTACCTTTACCTTTATAGTGGAAGCAGTGGAATTCTACGGTCCTTCCACTACATACATGCAAACTCATTCAGCAGTAAGGGTGTTTCATGTTCTCCCTAAACATTGTACAGTGGTACCTCGGGTTACATACGCTTCAGGTTACAGACTCCGCTGGCCCAGAAATAGTGCTTCAGGTTAAGAACTTTGCTTCAGGACGAGAACAGAAATCGTGCTCTGGCGGTGCGGCGGCAGCAGCAGCAGAAGGCCCCATTAGCTAAAGTGGTGCTTCAAGTTAAGAACAGTTTCAGGTTAAGTACGGACCTCTGGAACGAATTAAGTACTTAACCCGAGGTACCAGTGTATGGAACATTTCGCTGTTATTCCTCGTCTCATTCGATTCCACAGAGCCTAGGGATTGCTGATCAGAAGGTCAGCGGTTCGAATCCCCACAACAGGATGAGCTCCTGTTGTTCGGTCCCAGCTCCTGCCAACCTAGCAGTTCGAAAGCACGCCAGTGCAAGTAGATAAATAGGTACCGCTCTGGCAGGAAGGTAAACGACGTTTCTGTGCGCTGTTCTGGTTCGCCAGAAGCGGCTTAGTCATGCTGGCCACATGACTCGGAAAAACTGTCTGCGGACAAACATCAGCTCTCTCGGCCAGTAAAGCGAGATGAGCGCCACAACCCCAGAGTCGTCCGCGACTGGACTTAACGGTCAGGGGTCCCTTTACCTTTACCACTTTCTGAAACAACACGAGAAGCAAACCACACCCATCCTTCCAAATCCACATTTGGCTCAGTTTTGCAGTACAGCTCTCTGACCAATGTTCACAAAAATGCAGAGATCAGTGCCTAAAAATGAGCATGTTGTTTCAAATGACACACAGAGATGCGTTATAGTAGGAAAAATTGCTTGCAGAAATATCAAAACTTTGTTAAAAATGTGTTTCTCAGAAGTCACTAAAATGTGTGTATGTGTGGTGGACTAAACTGCTGTTTAATTTCCATGAGGATTTTAAGAAAAGAAAAATGGGAATTTGCTGCAGGAACGAGGAGAACCAAAACTGAGATGGATAAAATGAGAAAAAGAAATGGAAGGATCCTTCTGTCCGCCCTCACAAGGGAAGCGTGCAGATGACTAAAGGCATCTGGTCCAGCCCCTCGATTGGCTCTGCCCCATCTCCCAGATCCCAGTCATGCAGAAGGAATTTGAGTCAGTTTGCATTTAAAGGCAAACCTCCCTCATTCGCTCTTTCTGAAACCAGTAGATGAAACTTTAAGATCTTTCAAAATTCCCTCCACCTCTGCATTTCGCAATGAGCTTTTCCAGCCCAGTCACGTTCATCAAAATGCATACATCAGGATAAAATGTGCATCGGAATGCATATAATTGCAAAAACCATGTACCCAAATGCACTATATTAGGGGACATGGATTGGAAGCAGTACATTAGGAAATATTTTTTCCCATAGAATCATGAAAAATGCCTGCTAAAATGCTGATTAATTCTCATGAGATCTCCCACCCCCCCTTTTAAGTAATAATCACAAACTGATGAAGAAATGTGGAGAACAGCACTTAAGACTGGAAAAATGAGATGGGCAGACACTGAAACGGATGAAGCCACCTGACTCTTTTTGCATTGCACTTTGCACATGGCCATGGAAGTCTTGTTGGACAAAGCACAGCTGGAGGGAGAGCTGGCTAGCTATGAGGTTATCAATGATGAGCCTTGAAATCATGACTGAACACGCCCCCCTTTCCCTCTCCCCTTTATTTTTGTTTCAGGACCATTTTTCCCGGCAGCAGCATTTACTGCATCTGGCTGTGAAACCATGTGGAAAGGGGCTGTTGTTTGCTTCCTGCTTCTCCAGCTGACGGTTGCTGTGACAGGTGAGCGGCATTCGACCGAAGGTTTACGATTACAGACAAGCCTGGCCTTACCAACCAAGAGATTTGCCTCCAGAAGATGTGCCAGTGACCTCCCCCTGCCCCGTTTGAGGTCTAAGTAGAGCATCCACACCAGAGGCAGTCTACCTGTGGTGATGAAAGGTGTTGCTCAGTCATTGTGGTGCTGGATGGCAAAGGGGGGCTTTCCGATGGGGGCTGAATATTGCAGAAGCAAGATGGGTCATTAGCTACCGGGCTGTTTTATTAACAAAAAAGATCAACTCCCCCCCACCCCCCGCTTCCCAGAAAGGAAAAATTGGGAATAATCGGGGAGGAAGGATGTGGGCTGATGTGGGCACTGCAAAGAATTGCAGGTATGAGGAGCACTGATTATCTCACAATGAACACCCTTTTAGAAGCACTTTGGGTTCTGGAAATATAATCCAAGGCTCAGCCACCATTGGCCATTCTTTAGCTTTCTAACTATACCAGCTCTCTGGGCTTGCCATCACTTCACCCCCACTCTCCCAACTGCGACATCATAGACCAATGAGGTGTCCCTGATGTTTCCTCCTATCAGGGAAAAGCCATTTCTATTCCTATTATGGTTGTCCCTCTGACACTTGCTCGGATCACCCACCCACTGCCTCTTGTCATGCTGTAGTTCATAGTGCCACCTGTCTGTGGTCAAGCCAACTGCAGTGTGATGACATGCTTACATTTTTATTATATGCACAGAAATAAATTGCAATTGTTCTAGAGCATACGGCTTTGTGTGGATACTGATTCGGCAGAGCTTTCCTGTTGAGATAAGGCTTCCTCGACCCCTTCCTGACTTACCTCTCCGCTTCCCATAAATGGAACAAAAAAAGCCAGATTTTTCCTTCCTTTCCCCAGGCGGCCGTCCATGTTCTGCCAGGAATTTTGGGCATGGCTCGTTGGTGTGTGAATGTGGGGCTTCCTACTGTGACACCTTGGAGCCTGTCTCCCTCCTTCCTCTGGGTTCCTACGTCAAGTATGAAAGCAACAAAGCTGGGTCGCGTGTGGAGCGCAGTGAAGGAGTCCTGCACAATGACACTCCAGGAAAAGGTGGGTTTGTCTACTTTTTTAGATCTACCTCCAAGGAGACTCTCTCTCTCTCTCCCTCTATATCCTAACCTTTCTCCAAGAAGATTAAGCTTACACACTCCATTTTATCCTCACAACGACCCTGTGAGGTAGGCAGGACTGAGATATGGTGGCTGGAGAAGGGAAGGTTAAGGGGAGACTTCAGATACCCGAAGGGCTGATGCACTGAAGGAAGTATAACTTCCTAAGGGCATTACTTGTAGTACAGTGGAGCTGCCTGCCATGGGGTGAGTGGCTGGGCTCTTCTTCTCTGGAGTCATTCTGACAAGACAGGAGGACTGTTTTTGGGGGCCAGGGGTGGGCAGATGTGGAGGACTCCCTGGTCCTGAATGGGGTAACTGTCCCCCTGAAGGATCAGGTGCGCAGCCTGGGAGTCATTTTGGAATCACAGCTGCCCATGGAGGCGCAGGTCAATTCTGTGTCCAGGGCGGCTGTTTACCAGCTCCATGTGGTACGTAGGCTGAGACCCTACCTGCCCACAGACTGCCTCACCAGAGTGGTGCATGCTCTGGTTATCTCCCGCTTAGACTACTGCAACGCGCTCTACGTGGGGCTGCCTTTGAAGGCGACCCGGAAACTACAACTAATCCAGAATGCGGCAGCTAGATTGGGGACTGGGAGCAGCCGCCGGGACCACATAACACCAGTCCTGAGAGATCTGCATTGGCTCCCAGTACGTTTCCGGGCACAATTCAAAGTGTTGGTGCTGACCGTGAAAGCCCTAAACGGCTTCGGTCCAGTATACCTGAAGGAGCGTCTCCACCCCCATCGTTCAACCCAAACACTGAGATCCATCGCTGAGGGCCTTCTGGCGGTTCCCTCGCTGTGAGAAGTGAGGTTACAGGGAACCAGGCAGAGGGCCTTCTCGGTAGTGGCGCCCACCCTGTGGAACGCCCTCCCTTCAGATATTTTTCTTTGTGGTTGTTGTTGCGTTTGCTATTGTTTGTTTTTTATTTTTGTTAAATTTCGAAAATTTAATCAAAGTAAATAAATAAATAACTGATGCGGAAATTTAGAATTTAAGGCTGGAAAAATAAGAAAGCGAGGGAAAACTGCAATGGACAGATGTAGCCCATCTCTACCCTAAAGTAGCTGCATCCGCTAGGAATAAGCAAGCAGTGCTGTGCAATCTAAGCCACCTTCCTTCTTCCTTCCCTATAGAAACCCTCACTCTGAAGATCAAGACATCCCAGAAATATCAAAAAATTAAGGGCTTTGGTGGGGCCTTGACAGATTCGGCGGCAATCAATATCCTGGCGCTTTCTCCAAAGGCTCAGACAAATCTCCTCAAATCCTATTTCTCAGAACAAGGTAAGTTGCCAAGAGGTGGGTAGCAGCAGCCGGGTTGCCAACTTACTCCGCTGGTTCTGCTCCTCTGCTATTCCAGTGGGTGGGGGGGAGAAAGCTCTGCCCCGTCTAATATCTGCATGCCATCCTGGTGTGGAAGGCAGAAGAGCAAAAACGTTGGCGAACCTGAAGGAAACTGACAAGTCCCAGAGTTGGTGTAACAGTCCAAACTAGGCATAGGCAAACTCGGCCCTCCAGATGTTTTGGGACTACAACTCCCATCATTCCTAGCTAAAAGGACCAAAACATCTGGAGGGCCGAGTTTGCCTAAGCCTGGTCCAAACCTTCACAGGGAACTCTGGGAATGGTAGTTCTGCAATGAAAACAGGGGCCTCCTCCTGTCAACTCTCAGCAATAAACTACAATTCCCAGAATCCTCTGGGGGAAGCGGTGTTCAAAGTGGCAGGATGCTGATTCAAATGTACAGTTGCAGATGGAGCCTGAGAATGGGAAAATGAGAAACTGCAATGGACAGATTCATCCGTTACTACTCTAAGCAGTTATGCTCAGTCCTCACTGGACTTTTTCCACTGGCTGCTTCCCCTGCCCCTCATCCTCCCACAGTAAATATATATATTTTTTAAACTGCTGCAAACCATGGGGCTCCCTGCAAGCTTCTTGATACTGCCATCTTGTGTATGGATGGTGCCATTGCACTAGGGTTTTCTTCCTTTCCTTATACAGTGGTACCTCGGGTTAAGAACTTAATTCGTTCCGGAGGTCCGTTCTTAACCTGAAACTGTTCTTAACCTGAGGTACCACTTTAGCTAATGGGGCCTCCCACTGCCACTGCCACGTGATTTCTGTTCTCATCCTGAAGCAAAGTTCTTAACCCAAGGTACTATTTCTGGGTTAGCGGACTCTGTAACCTGAAGCGTATGTAACCCGAGGTACCACTGTACATAAAAATCACACGTGACCCCAGAGGGCAGCCCCATACAATGTCCTTAGCAAGCATGTTGCATTGTCCTGTGCCATAACTCCCAGGAAGATTTGCCTCATTTTCCCCCCAGCTTGTGGTGAAATTGCTGTCTAACACTGTTTAACTCTCTCCCTAATTCATTCTAACTCACTAACTATTCTAATGCTCAAACTCTGAGTTTCACTCTGTCTCAATCTGTCTATCTAGTGATCTGTTCTCTCTCTCTCTCTCTCCTATCTATATTAGGACCCAATCTATTCTCTTGGTTGTTTTAAACTGATTTAAAATATTATAGTTTTACACAGTGTTTTTTTCTGAGGGGACGCAGGGGCACACATGCCCCTAAACATTTTGTGAATCTTTGTGCTTTTCTCCATTTACTGCATTTATTTTCCCCTATTTGAACTATAAAATGGTGATTTTCTTGGGTCAAAATGAGAGTACCCCTAAACATATTTTTTTTTTAGAAAAAAAAGCACTGGTTTTACATCATTGTGACCTCCCCTAGGACCCCACGGTGACGGGCAAGAAAGAAATTGAACAAGTAATAATAGCCACACTCATCACCTCCAAAGATCCAACAGAATTTGTTAGGCCTGTGGGTTCCAAATCAGACTTTGTCCAATTTACACATTAATTTGGGGGTCAGGTGAATTCACTTTGAAATGTGGAAGGACCCCCCCAAAAAATAATTTTCCTCAGTGAGTCCTATTTCTGGGAGTAACCCTGCTCTGTCTGCCTTTGGCTCCACTTTCTCCAAGGCATCGAATACACCTTGGTCCGCGTCCCCATGGCGAGCTGTGATTTCTCCGTGAGGCTCTATACGTACGACGATTCGGAGGACGACTTTGAGCTGAAAAACTTCAGCCTGACGGAGGAAGACACCAAAATGAAGGTGAAGGGATTCGCCGATCCCAGCATAAAGATTTAGGCCCATTTCCAGGGGAGAAAGTGGATTCGGTTTGCTTTTTAATGTGAACCCGTTTCCTTTGTGCTTAAGGGGACCAGCTAGTCCTTGACTGACTAAGAAACCTTAGCCCAAGACTCTCAGGCTCCACTTTGAACCCCGAATGCCATTTTAGAAGATAAAAGAGAAATGTCCATAGCTCACTGGTAGAGCATCTGGTCTCAGGTTCAATCCCCAGTCCCCTGTCTAAAACCCTGGAGAGCTGCTGCCAGTCAGTGCAGACAATACCAAGCTAATTTATTTAGTTATTATTTTATAGCTGGACAGACCAAGGGACCAATGCTCTGACGATAGCAGCATCCTCTATACTAAGCAGCTGAGTCTTCCAGGAAAATTGTTGAACTGCAGCTCTGCATCATCCCTGACTATTGGCCAATACTGGCTGTGGATGATAGGAGTTGTAGTCCGCCGATAGCTGGAGAGACACAGTTTGATCTCCCCTGCTTGGCCAGCTCTGTTGCCTTTACAGCAGATCCTAAGGACTGAACCACAGATCTTCTGTGTGCTCTCTTCCACTGATCTGGAGACGAGGGGACCTGCTATCCTTCAGAATATGATTGGACTCCAATGCCCATCATCCACATCCAGTACTGGCCAATAGTTAGGGACGATCGGAGCTGCAGTTCTTGGCCTCCAGCTCTCACCATCCCCATCAGAAAGCATGGCCAATGGTTAGGGATGGTGACAGCCCAACAAGAGCTGGGGGCCACCAGAGGAACCTGAGAAATGCGTCAGGAGCTTGTCCTAGACTAGAGTAGGACCCTGGCAGAGACACATGCCCGACTGGCATGTTCTCTCCCTCCTGATCGTTTGTTTGGCAGCTTCAAAAGCTTTCTTCTGCCCGAACATCACAGCGACTGATGCCAACAGACACCGGCACACCTAGGGATCCGCAGAGTCTGCGCAGTTCGTGTGACAGACCTCAGCAGCTCAGCATTTTGGCTAATCTACTTTATTTACATATGAACACACACGGAGCACTGCAACATGGCTCCCTCTCTCTCTAGCATCAGACAGCAAAGAGAAAAAGGACAAAGGACAATAGTCCCATTTCACGGAACACAGTCATAGCTGTCAACTTTTCCCTTTTCTTGTGAGGAATCCTATTCGGAATAAGGGAATTTCCCTTTAAAAATGGGAAACGTTGACAGCTGTGAACACAGTAACACAAACATCCTGTCATTTCTCACTCTGTGGAGTCAAAAAATATACCATCATGTGATAGACAACATTCCCATGACTGCAATCACGGAGCAGGAATTCTAACAAAATGTTCTCTCTGGCCACCGTGTGAGAGCAGTGAAATCACTGAGACACGACACAGGTATTGGGTGAAATCAGGCCAAATCTTCCTTGATGACAAACGCTGTTCCACATCCCCTCCCCAGATCCCAATCCTTCAGCAAGCCCAAGCAGTGGCCAAGAAGCCGCTTGCCCTCTACGCCAGCCCTTGGACCTCCCCAGTGTGGATGAAGACCAACGGGGCCATGACAGGCCGAGGGACCCTCAAGGGGAAGCCGGGAGACAGATACCACAAGGCCTGGGCCAACTATTTCATCAGGTAACGACACCAACCACTGACGTCGTTTGGTTCCATTTTATTTGACGGCTGACCAGTTTGCGACTGCCGCAGAGCAATAAAGTTGTTAGGCACACAAACAAAGCGCACAGCTAGTGCAGCAAAGGCTCCTGGGAGATGTGATAGGAATTTTGACGTCTGTAAAGGTAAAGGGACCCCTGACCATTAGGTCCTGTTGTGGCCGACTCTGGGGTTGTGGCGCTCATCTCGCTTTAGTGGCCGAGGGAGCCAGCGTGCAGGTTCCGGGTCATGTGGCCAGCATGACTAAGCCGCTTCTGGCGAAACAGAGCAGCACACGGAAACTCCGTTTACCTTCCCGCCGGAGCAGTACCTATTTATCTACTCCCACTTTGAGGTGCTTTCGAACTGCTAGGTTGGCAGGAGCAGGGACCGAGCAATGGGAGCTCACCCCGTCACAGGGATTTGAACTGCCGACTTTCTGATCGGCAAGTCCTAGGCTCTGTGGTTTAACCCACAGCACCACCACGTCCCTTTTGAGGTCTTAGATATATGTTAAATGTTCATAAGTGTGCCAACCAAGCACGCACATAGATCAGCACAGGAAGACCGACCTGAAACCATTTTGATTCCCAGACTGACCAAATGTTTTCCCTGCAAGGAGGGAGGGGGGTCAGGGAGCCTTCCCATTGTCTCAGGAATTGAGTAACCCGCATTTTAATAGGGGACAGACTGTCAGGAAAGGTAATCAGATAACCTGGCAAACAGGAAAAACAACATCCAAATTTCTGTTTTTGACCGCCTTTTCTGTGATGTAGGTATGATGTTTCTGGGGGTGGTCTTGATCTACAGGGTGGCAATTTCAAAAGTCTATATAAGGCCTTGTGCGCCATTTTTCAGGGTTCCTCTTCCCTCCTGCATGTGGTGAGGACCGTGTTGCAACAGATCAATAAAGATCAGGCTTACTAGCTGCTTTGCTTCTCAATATTCTCTGGTTGGCCTCTGTTATTTTCTCCTACCAATAGGGAACCTATGTAAGGACTCTATATGGGCTCTTGGATACCCCATAAGGGAAAAGGGCAGATTTTTTGTTTACAACAGAGAAAAATGGCGGAGACGCGAGGAGACAGTTCAGCACCAAGGGGTCGCCTTCTTCCTCAGGGGAGAAAAAGGATATCGTAGAGCTGAGAAAGGTTCAAAAATCATCAAGGGGAGGGAGCGACTTCACTAGAAGGAAAAGTTGCAGCATTTGGGACTTTTCTCTTGGAAAAAAGGCGGAATGAGATGAAATGGTGGATGTTTATAAAAGTTATGCTTGGCCGAGAGAGAGCGGATAGACAAAATTATTGTATCCCTCTCATAAAACCTGTGGACATTCCATGAAGCTGAAAATGGGAAGAGTCTGGACGGACAAAAAAGTTTAGTTTCTTAAAAGAAAAATCTCAGGAAGTAATATCCTCAGCGACATCTTGGCTCGCAGCTCCTGCTAACTTTCTCTGCCATTCCCCTCTGCAGGTTCTTAGACGAATACGCCAAGTATAACTTGACTTTCTGGGCTGTGACGGCCGGGAACGAGCCAACGGCTGGCGACATCATCTTTTACCCCTTCCAGTGCCTGGGCTTCTCCCCTGAGCACCAGCGGGACTTCATCGCCCAAGATCTGGGTCCTGCCTTGGCCAACAGCTCTTACAAGGGCATTGAGCTGATCATTCTGGATGACCAAAGGATGATGCTCCCTTACTGGGCCGAAGTGGTGAGTGGGCCGCCCTGGACTGGTGGAACCCCAACCCCAGGGGCTCTGTTTTCCTATTTCTTTTGCTAAAGGCGCTGGAGCTGAGGCCACGTTGGCACCATGCATTTAAAGCCCCAGGAGGCCGTTTGGACAGTCACGGCTTTGCCCTAAGCATCCCTTGAGTCCAGAGCAATAAATTGTTGTTGTTATATGATACAAATAAACCAGGAAGGATCAGGCTAAATACCGGTATCTATCGAGTTTGGAAACCCAGCCACATGGGTGGGGTATAAATAAATTATTATTATTATTATTATTATTATTATTATTATTATTATTATCTCCCAATCAGAGCAGTCGGAGGAAGGACTAATTGCTCTGGCCTGAGGTCTAAACTGATTGCCTCAAGGGGAGCGGGGAGCGGGGTATACAGGTTACCCACATCTGTGGGGAGCAATTGCTGAATTCCCTTCTTCATAATCCAGGACAAGGAATTAAATTTCCCCTCCCACTCCTCACCGTTACCTTACAGAGTCTCAAATGTGCACATCCTGAAGATAAGGCCCACTGAAACCAGCTACCCTTGAGTTTGCTTTGGGGATTTGTAGCTCTCATCTTCACTCTCCTCCATGAGGTCTAGAAACATGCCAGTGGGGGGTAGAAAGGCCAAAAATAGAATATGAAGCTGTTAAGAGCTCTGTGAGCTTGACAACTCTGTTTTTATTATCCCTTCTAGGTTCTCAAGGACCCCGTGGCAGCCAGTTACATCAATGGGATCGGCATCCACTGGTATTTGGATTTCCTGGCCCCCATCGACTTGACTCTCTCTATCACTCACCACCTTTTCCCCAAGTATTATCTCATCTCCACCGAGGCCTCTACAGGATCGTATTTTTGGGAGCCCCGTGTGGTGCTGGGGGAGTGGGACCGCGGCAGCAAATACAGCCACAGCATCCTTGCGGTAGGAGCGCGAGCTGCAATGACTTCCTTTTTTTAAAAAAAAGAAAAGTTTAGTAGAATTTCAGAGCCTGACATTTGTTTCTTTGTCTGAACAAAATTTATATACCAATATATATATCAACTTGAAGGAAACCTCTCCGCAGTTAACGAAAAATACAAAATGAAATATGAAAGCAATAGATTAAAAAACCCAGTGAAAAATGAGTACAGGCAGCAACAGTTTTTAGGCGCGTCTGATATGTTCGCAGCGACTGCCCATTGTGCCGCTCAGACGTGATCTGAAAACGTCGCAAAAAGGGGTGGAATGGGGTGTTTTCAGGCTTTCTCGACGGGTGTTCAGATTGTAGGCGATTTCATGGATGTGCGCCAATGTCTCGGAACATAACACCTGCACAAATCGGCCACTGCCTGCTTTTTAAAATATTCAAAAGCTCATTAAAACCAGCTAGACGTTTTCAGCCGGCGCCCAAAAGAGTACGGTGAAGGTGCCTGCCAATTGGAAGCCAATTTGCAGGGAGTTCCAAAGTTTAGTGTTCTTGAATTCTACTCAGTATTGATCCAGAACAGGATTCCCCAAAAATAGACCAGAGGCAATTGTATTTCATCCAGCAGAACTTTACTGCTACTGAAGGCAATTGAGCATAATGGTCACAAATCCAATACATTCAGAATTGGCACTGTTCATAAGAAATCCAGTTGCAGCAGACTTAACTTAAAAATTCTAATAACTTATAATAAGACTGAACCTTAACAGTATATACAGAATGCCACACCAGAAGGAAAAGAGATAGAACGAGAAAGTGACATCCTTCTGTCCTATTTTTATAGTCAGCATGATCTTGACAGAAAGAGATAAGAGAACCAGTTTAAGCCAGCTGTACTCAGCTTCTCTGAAGGAATAACCCAAACATCAGGAACTTTCTGCTTGTTTCTTTCACACAGAGAAGCTTCCAGAACCCTCTGGAATTAAGTAGAATAGGAAAGGTCTCTACACATCAGATCAATACTTTCATTACTAAGAAATGCAAACTGACATTTAGAACACTAAAATATCGGTTTCTTACAACTGCTTAGGAATTCCCTCCCATTAAATATTAGGCTCCATCTCTATTGCCTTAGTGGTTCCTCCTAAAGACCTTCTTCTTTCAAGGAGACTTTTCAGTAGAGATACAAATCCAAGTTTGCTTCTGCATTAGAATTGCTCTGAAGATGTTTTAAAGATTTCTTGAATCTCCAATTGTTTTATCATTGCTTGTTTGCTGCCCTCAGGTGGCTTTGGGAGGAAAGGAAAAGCAAAAAATTGAATTACGGTAATGAGTAAATTAAGCCTATTAAGAGGCATGTATGACTATGATTGGGACGCGGGTGGCGCTGTGGGTAAAACCTCAGTGCCTAGGACTTGCCAATCGTATGGTCAGCGGTTCGAATCCCCGCGGCGGGGTGAGCTCCCGTCGTTCGGTCCCAGCTCCTGCCCACCTAGCAGTTCGAAAGCACCCCTAAGTGCAAGTAGATAAATAGGTACCGCTTTATAGCGGGAAGGTAAACGGCGTTTCCGTGTGCTGCGCTGGTGCTGGCTCGCCAGAGCAGCTTCGTCACGCTGGCCACGTGACCTGGAAGTGTCTCCGGACAGTGCTGGCTCCCGGCCTCTTAAGTGAGATGAGCGCACAACCCTAGAGTCGGACACGACTGCCCCGTACGGGCAGGGGTACCTTTACCTTTACCTTTTATGACTATGATGCATTGGTTTCCTTCCTTAGTTTGAAAAGTACTTCTATGCAGCCGGCGCATACAATCTGATCAACCTAGCGGTACATTAAAAATGTAAAATAAATAAGATTAATAAACGAATCAAGTGTTCTTCTCCGCCTTCCTGCAGAACCTCAATAACTACGTCACAGGCTGGACGGACTGGAACCTTGTCCTGGACATGGAAGGAGGCCCCAACTGGAGCAAAAATTATGTTGACAGTCCAGTCATTGTAGACGCGGCCAACGATGTGTTTTACAAACAGCCCATGTTTTATCACATGGCACACTTCAGGTGAGACAGCGGGAACCTCCACAAGTCCCCCAAGCAGGTGACCCCCCTGCCAACCATATTGAGTCCTAAAATGGGGTGGCCCTGTGGGTGACACCACCTCAGTCTGCGGCCTGCTGGGCTTTGATGAGTGACAGGGCCTTCTCGGTGGTGGCTCCTCGTTTGTGGTACACCCTCCCTGGTGACGTGCGCTTGTCCCTCGTGCTGTCGAGTTGCAGGCAGATTTTTTTAATGTGTTCCCGTTCACCCAGGAATCAGATGGCTGATAGATGTGGGCCAAGGCAATGGTGAAATTAAAAATCAGGAGGGAATATGGTTGCTCCAGAGGGTGGCAACTCAAGAACGTAGCCTTCTCTGCAGTGGCTCCCCGTCTGTGGAATGCTCTCCTCGGGGAAGTTCACCTGGTGCCTTCATTATACACCTTTAAGCGCCAGGAAAAAATGTTCCTTTTTAACAAGGCCTTTGGCTGACCTGATCAACATCCTGTACCCTTTTAAAATATGGCTTTTTTGGGGGGGGTGTTACCAGGTAATTGTTTTTACTTTGATTTTATATATTGTGATCTTTTATGTGAACCAACCTGAGACCTCCGTGTATAGGGCGGTATATAAATTCAGTCAATCAATCAATCAATCAATCAATCAAAATAAACGTTTTAGATGTTGTGAGTATGTTTTTGGAAGGTTTCCCCCCGCCCCAATCATTATTATTTTAAACCGTAATGTTTTTAAATATTTGATATTTGCTGCCCTGGGCTCCTCTGAGAGGAAGGTACAGTCATACCTCATGTTATGTCCGTTTCATGTTATGTTCTTTCAGGATACGTCCCGTGGCGACCCGGAAGTACCGGAAAGGGTTACTTCTGGGTTTCGCCGCTCGCGCATGCGCAGAAGCACAAAATGACATCATACGCAGAAGCGGAGAATCACAACCCGCATGTGCGCAGACGCGCTGCTGCGGGTTGCATTCTTTTCATGTTGCGAACGGGTCTCCAGAACGGATCCCGTTCGCAACCAGAGGTACCACTGTACGGGATACAAATTTAATAAACAAGCAAACAGATTAACACTCTCAGGCCCAGCCCCCCTCCTCCAAACCCCCTCAGGATAACCCCCTTGGTTGTGTTGAGATGGGACTACAGTGGTACCTCGGGTTACGAACTTAATTCGTTCTGGAGGTCTGTTCTTAACCTGAAACCGTTCTTAACCTGAGGTACCACTTTAGCTAATGGGGCCTCCTGCTGCCGCACAATTTCGGTTCTCATCCTGAAGCAAAGTTCTTAAGCCGAGGTACTATTTCTAGGTTAGCAGAATCTGTAACCTGAAGCGTCTGTAACCTGAAACATCTGTAACCCGAGGTACCACTGTACTAGACCCTCACTGCAGCAGCAGGGCTGGTCTTGGGCTACTTAGATCTAACCATATTCCCCTTTCCCCCTGCTTCTTTGATATGCTACTGCAGCAAGTTCCTCCCGGAGGGAACCCAGAGGATTGAGATTCAGAGGAGCAAGTGGACCGACCTGGAATATTCGGCCTTCCTGCGTCCAGATGGCTCAGCGGCCGTTGTTGTCTTGAACAGGTGAGTGGGAGCCAGGTGGCCTCCGAGCTGCCGCTGAACGGCTGTCAGACGAAAATAAGACGAAAACCCGAAAGATCATCTTCTCAGTGGGGTTTCCTCAGTGGGAAACCAGCAATCAGGATTCGCACATAGGAGCAACTCTCCCCTCCTGTGGTTTCCAGCAACTGGTATTCAGAGACATTGATGCCTCCAGCTGTGGCCATCATGCCTACTGGCCATTGATCGCCCCATGAATTTGTCAAGTCCTCTTTTAAAGCGATCTAGGTTTGTGGCCCTCGCTGCCTTCTGTGGACGGGAGTTCCATAGTTCAACCAAGCACAGCATAAAGAAGTTCCTTTCTTTCATCGGGCCTGGATCTACCCACATTCAGCCCCCTCCAGTTCTAGCGCTGCAAGATTATTATTGGGGTAGTGGGTTCAAGCCCCACGTTGGGGAAAAGGTTCCTGCATTACAGCTCCATGACTCAGATTCTAAGAAATGAAGAAAAACGTTTCAGTATCTACCGTATTTTTTGCTGCATAAAACACACCTGACCATAAGACGCACATAGTTTTTAGAGGAGGAAAACATGGGGGGAAAATATTCTTAATCAAATGTTGTACTAAACTATTTAAAGCAGCAAAGCAGACAGGAGCCGCTTACACATCCCTCTTCCACGCAGCATTCACTTCATAAGACGCACAGGCATTTCCCCTTACTTTTTAGGAGGAAAAAAGTGTGTCTTATGGAGGAAAAATACGGTACTCTCTCCACGTCACACAAAAATACAAATTTATTTCTTGCTCGCCTTTCCCCTAAACTATAAAGCCCCAAATTCTGTAACCTTTCCTCTTGGGCAAGTTGTTCTGTGCCCTTGATCGTTCCGGTTGCCCCTGCCATTCCGTCAGCCTCGTGCGATTCTGTAGCATTAAAGGCACCTTGTGGGAATCACAGAATTGCAGAGTTGGAATGGGACCCCAAGAGTCATCTAGTCCAGCCCCCTGCAATGCAGGAACCTTTTCTCCAATGTCTTCCTCTTCTCTTCCTTGACTCCGCTGCCCGGCCTTTGAGCTCGTTTCGGTTGCTGTTTTCTCGTGGGCCAAGGAAGGAGCATTTCCCTGATTTTCTCCCAGGGTGCCCTCCAGAACTATTCCTGGCCAGTGCCAGATTTATGTATAAGCTAAACAAGCTATAGCTTAGGGCCCCACTCTCTTGGGGGCAAAAATGTAAAGGGGAAAAAACTGGAAGTACATTTCCAAAATATAAGATAAAAAACAAATAAAATAAAACCTGCATACAGTTAGAGCTTAATAATTATTTCACTATCAATATATTTCTTCTTAATTGTATTCCACTATTAATATACTTCTTAATTGTATTTCAGTTCAACAATTGCTTTGCTAAAGCACACATTTTGTTATGTGCAAATGGCTTTAGATACCTATTAAAAGGTAAAGGGTAAAGGGACTTCGATGATTAGGTCCAGTAGTGGCTGACTCTGCGGTTGCAGCGCTCATCTCGCTTTAGTGACCGAGGGAGCCGGCGTACAGCTTCCGGGTCATGTGGCCAGCATGACTAAGCCACTTCTGGCGAACCAGAGCAGCGCACAGGAACACCGTTTACCTTCCCGCCGGAGCGGTACCTATTTATCTACTTGCACTTTGTGCTTTTGAACTGCTAGGTTGGCAGGAGCAGGTACTGAGCAACGGGAGCTCACCCCGTCGCGGGGATTTGAACCGCCAACCTTCTGTTTAACCCACAGCGCCACCCGTGTCCCTTAGATACCTATTAGGTCCATAAATTACCATAAAGCATATATTCAACACGAAAAACAGTGACAATTTGTTGTTGACAAAGTACAGCTGGACATATAAAGGGCCCCATTACCTTCAGTAGCTTAGGGTCTCATCGAACTGAAATCCGGCCCTGTTCCTGGCCCAGATTTTCCCTTCGGCACACCGCCTGCCTGTCTTTCTAAATCGTTTCCTGTCTCGCCCTCTTCCTCAGGTCCCACAAGGACGTCCCGTTTGTCATCTCCGACCCTGGCGTGGGCCACATCGAGGCCGTGTCGACCGCCGATTCCATCCAGACCTACCTCTGGGAGCGGCCCAAGGAGGCGTCGGCAGAACCCCCCGCTCAGCAATAAATGTTCTGCGCCCGTGAGATGGGTTGGCGTGAGCAGGGAGAAGGGGAGATCAGGATTCTGCAGGAGTCCTGGGGATGGGTCTGCCCACTCTGCCGGAAGGCCTGTATGACCCAGGAACGGAACGGGGTGTTTTCTCTGCAGCTGGTGTTGGATAGGTTTAACGCTCTCAGTTTCATCCAGAGAGCAGGGGTCAGCAAACGTTTTCAGCAGGGGGCCGGTCCACTGTCCATCAGACCTTATGGAGGGCCGGATTATATTTTGGGGGGTGGGAATGAATGAATTTCTGTGCCCCACAAATAACCCAGAGATGCATTTTAAATAAAAGGACACATTCTGCTCATGTAAAAACACGCTGATTCCCGGACCGTCCGTGGGCCGGATTTAGAAGGCAATTGGGCTGGATCCGGCCCCCGGGCCTTAGTTTGCCTACCCGTGTGTTAACGTTACTGGACCCAAGCTAGCCATGCCCATTACTTCCAGCGGGTCTCCTCTGAGGAGGGCCAGCATCGGCTGCATAAAAAGGCCATAAGATCTTTGAGCCGAAAAATGTTGCCGAATGACCACTCCCATCCATGAGTGCGGCTGGTGGAAGGTGGATTTGAACCATGTTCCTGTCTCCCAGCTCCCAGCAAGCATGTCCAAGGGATGGTGGGAGTTGTAGTTCTGCCACATCTCAAAACCCTGCACTGGCTATAAAACGCCGAGTTTTATAAAACGCCTCTCCTTGCTATTTGAGTTGCCATTCATTCCATAGAGGGCTTCACCATGCTCACCTCATGGGGCTGATCGCTTCCTCCTATCTCAGATGTTTTCGTACAATAAACCAGTTTTTTTTTTCTTTTTCTAAAAACCCACCTGCTTCCTGGCTTCCTTTCATGGTCTCTCGGGCTGGGATGGAACTGCAGGGGGGCAGGAGGAGGGCTGTGTTGGCGCTGCTTCCCATATATTGTGAGCTCTTTCCCTGTCAGTGTTTCCCAAGAAGTGGAACGACAACTCCAGGGTTTCCCAAAGCCTGAGATGCAAAGAGCGGGAGGCTTGTGACATCGGGTGGGGTTTGGGCCTCGTGGTGCCAAAGGCCTTTTATATCTTAAACAAAGGGTTTAAGACAAAGGGAACCTGTGGCCTTTTGGGTGCTGCTGGGCTCCCAGCTCCCATCACCAGTCATGGTGGTTGGGGCTGCTGGGATCCAGGAATCCTACATTATTTCTACACTCCCCTTTAGCCTGGGATTGTTATCAGGTTTAGCAGATCTCACTCCATCCATCTTGTGTGGCTCTGCTCAAATAAGGACCTTAAGGGGGGAGGAAATGTATTTTGGGTGAAATTAGTCCCCAAGGGGCAATACTCAAGAGGGAAAAGGAAGAAGGGGCAACCATTTGAATCAAATTCCGTAGTTTCCGTAGTTTCCAACCAAAGGGCTGGAATGTATATATTAAAAAACCACCTACAGATATGTTCTTGGAGCTGAAATGTCAGTCCTATCGAAAGAGCTCTTGTATGTTCACTCTCCAACCAACCCCCCTGCAAAGCGAGTAAAACCTAGAATCCGTTTCCGCATTTTGTTGCCTAATGGAGTACATCTTCCTTTTTTTTGTGTGTGTGGCTGCATTTCGTGAAATCATTTGACGAGATTTTCATCTTAAAACTTTGCACAAATAATCTTGGCTGGGTCTGTGGACATATGACTGTTTTTGTCAATTTCCCCCCCTTTCGTTTGGTTGGCCTGAGCAAGGGAAGAGCTGTTTGAAGCGTAATAGTGCCTTCTGCAGCAATTGCCAAATAGCTGGCAGATTTCCTGTGAATAATTTTTTGGGGAGGGGTTGGGGGGGTGCTAATTCTGTCCTGTAACTTGGGAGGTGGCGGAGGCAGCTGTGGTGATGGAGCTTCAAGAGACTCCATCTGTCTTAGCGCCACCCAGGTGACCAAGAGCCAGTGTGGTGTAGTGGTTAAGAGTGGTGGACTCGTAATCTGGTGAACCAGGTTCGATTCCCCGCTCCTCCACATGCAGCTGCTGGGTGACCTTGGGCTAGTCACACGTCTTTGAAGTCTCTCAGCCCCACTCACCCCACAGAGTGTTTGTTGTGAGGGAGGAAGGGAAAGGAGATTGTTAGCCGCTTTGAGACTCCTTAGGGTAGTGATAAAGCGGGATATCAAATCCAAACTCTTCTTCCCTTCTTCTTGTAGGGGAAATACCATGTACACATTTTTAGCACTATGCAACAAACACTCTTTCCAAACCCAAAGACTACCTCCTGTCTATCTCACCTACCTACCTCATCTCTTCCAAAACACATGTAAAACTTTTAATGTCGTATTCTATCGCCGTAACGCACCCTTAGGGAACCTTAGGGGCGAGAAGGGTGGGAAATAAGTAAACAATTCACTTTGAATGGGAGACTATTCCCAACCTCCTTTTCAGTTCTCTGGAAAACTCAAAATACCCAAGTTGATGGGAAAGGATGCAGCTCAGGAATATAGCACCAGCTTCGCATATTCCTAGTTCAATCTCTGGTTTCTCCAGGAAGGGATAGGAATGTCTCCTGCCTGAAATGATGGGGAGATGCTGCCAATCAGAGTTGCCAGTACTGAGCGGCATGGGCCAGTGGTTTGGCTCAGCTAAGGGGAAGTTTCCCTTGCGTCCGATGTTCTTTTGTTGTCCTTTACCCTAAGAACAAGCAATCTTCCATGCAAAACAAGGGGATTAATGCCTTCCTTTAAGATAGAGTATGGAAACCTCATGATATGTAAAATAGCACAAGTACAAAAATTCTGAATACAAAAGGAGGGATGTCATGGAATTCTACTCAGTATTGATCCAGAGCAGATTCCAGCGTATAGTTAGCAGAGTAAAAACTTAAACACGTTGCAAGAGTCCCCAAAAATAGACCAGAGGCAATTGTATTTCATCCAGCAGAGCTTTACTGCTACTGAAGGCAAATGAACATAAAGGTCACAAATCCACTACATTCAGGATTGGCACTGTCCGTAAGAAATCCAATTGCAGCAGACTTAACTTAAAAATTCCAATAACTTATAATAAGACTGAACCTTAACACTATATACAGAATGCCACACCAGAAGGAAAAGAGATAGAACGAGAAAGTGAAACCTAGGCTCCTTCTGGCCTATTTTTATAGTCAGCATGATCTTGACAGAAAAAAAAGAGAACCATTTAAGCCAGCTGTACTCAGCTTCTCTGAAGGAATAACCCAAACATCAGGAACCTTCTGCTTCTTTCTTTCACACAGAGAAGCTTCCAGAACCCTCTTGAATTAATTAGAATGAGAAAGATCTCTGCACATCAGATCAATACTTTCTGCACTAAGAAATGCAAACTGCCACTCTCTACTTCAAGAATAAAGCCTCCAAGCTTTTAACCCAGCTATAGACTAAACCAATTCCTCCTCCCACCCCCAGCACAAAACCCAAGAAGGAGCACACAAGTCCCGTCCTCGTTCTCTCTGCTTGGACCCCGTCAGCCACACGAATGCAGAAAAACATATCTGCGTTAGGGAGGGTTCAAATCACATTTAATGCTTGAAAAATGAGTGTCTGATTATAGCCCTGGGAAAAAGGAAGAGAGTTTATGTATGCCTTTTGGTGGGGTGGCGGAAGGGACGCGGGAATCTGTAAGCAGGCATCTCCTAGCCTCCCTATTCCAGGTCTGGGCAGAGTCTCACCTCCTTTCCACATTGTCCCAACAATTGCCAGGGGCTGCTGGACTGAGGAGGAATGGTGGGAGTCGCTGCCCCCTTCTCCTGAAGCTTCCCAAGGGCAGGAGGACAGTATTGAGTTAGAACAGTGGTTTGCAGAAGGGCATAGTCCAGCGGGGGAAAGCTGGGAAATACTGGGTGAGGAACAGCTAGAAGAGGAAACACCAGGAGGGAGACATCTGGCAGATTCAGTGTCCTTGGACAGCATTCCTGACCCCCCTTCGCCTGGGACTAGACGGGCTCCAAGAGTGATAGAACAGAGAGCGCAGCGGCAACAAGCTCAGGTTACCCGACGTAGGAGTGGCGCAGATTAATGGGGACAGAGCAGGGGGAAACCTTTACTGGGAGCACCGCCATTTCTAGAGAGATATGCATTCCTTTGTCTCTCGCTGTGATTATTAAAGAACTGGTAAGAACGCTCCTTTAGTTTGATCTGCTTATTTACTGGCACCGGGGAAGGGATCTGATTCCCCGAAAGGCTGACAACAATCAGGCTCTATCCACGATCTTGAGGTTTGCAGGGTGAGGCAGGGGGAAGATTGAGGCTGCTTCCATGCATCCGGGTCACTTTGTGGGGAGAAGGCATTTCCCTTGCCCCTTTCCTCCGAGGCAGGTAGTGGACGTCTTCCACAGGTAAGTCTGGATGGAGTTGGCCGGAGCCACATCCTCAATGTAGCCAAGCTGACCATCTGAGATGCTGAAAGGCACATTCCAGATACACCTGAGGGACAGAGGAAAGGTCTGGGTCAGGGGTTGGGATGGCGCAGGGCACAGAACCACCCCTATCCCCACCAGGGTTGCCAGGAAAAGGTAGGGGCACCCCTAGAAATATTTTATATAGTTTTTAATAATTTCATTATTTATAACCCACCCATCTGGCTGGGTTGCCCCAGGCTTCCTGGTGAATTTCTGCACTACTGGGAAGTGGGCAGATGGGGCATGCAAGGGGTGCCCTAGTATAATCCCTGGCATCTCCAGGCAGGGCTTTGAATGCCCTAGAAAGCCAGTGCCAGTCCCCGCAGACAGTTCTGAGCTAGGTGAACCCATGGTCTATGCGCCAGGTGATGAGCCCAGGTGGCAATGTGGGGGGCAGGCAGGAAAAAAAGGTACCGTATTTTTCGTTCCATAAGACATACTTTTTTCCTCCTAAAAAGTTGGGGGAAATGTCTGTGCGTCTTATGGAGCAAATGTGTGGTCAATCGCTGGCTCCCTTTCTGGCCCCACCCCCTTGCCCAGGCCTCCATTGTTGAATGTTCTGCAGACGGAGGCTGTTTGTTTCCCCAGCCACATGTGACTGGCTGATTAGATTATCTGTCTGGAAACTGTAGAAACAGCTCCCTTTCCTAAAGAAGCTGCAGAACTGTGAGTTGAACCTCATAAAAACAGGATTTTCCCCCATTGCAAAGTAAGCTCCACAACTTTGAGCTGATCCTCAAAAAAATAGAGCTTTTCCGCTTTGCAAAAGAAGCTGCACAACTGTGAGCTGATCCCCCCCAAAACGGGGCTTTCCCCCTTTCCTCCTCTAAAAACTAGGTGCGTCTTATGGAGCGAAAAATACGGTATATCTGAGTCCCAACAAGCCAGCAGTCAAAAGGGAGGCAGCTGATGGGGAGATGCAAACTGCCTAGCTTTCAACAAGAGGTAGGGTTGCCAGATCTCCAGGGCGGAACCGAAGCCTTCAAGTTTGTCTGGCCTGTTCTAGAGAGCCAGGATGAAGCTTGAGTCTCCATCTGGGTCAGAGCACCCAATATTTGTTTATCACTATTCAGAAGACTGTGCATGCAGCTGAAAGCCGCAGCCCAGCAGCAGCTAGCCTCAGGCTGTAGCATGGGGTCTCCTAGGTCATAGATTACCGTCGTAGAATTGTAGAGTGGGAAGGGACCACGAGGGTCATCCATCCCAACCCCCTACAATGCAGGAATCCTTAGCCCAACATGGGGCTCTGTGGGATGTATCATCACTGTAGCAGTCAAATATAACATTTCCTGTTTCCTAGAGTGGACGCACAGGGGAATGTTGCTCCAGACAGGGAGGACTTCCTGTCATACCTGTTCTGGAGCCTCCTCTCCCTGTGTAGATGGGCGTGACTCTGGGAGACCCTATAAAAGGGCTAATCACGCAGCCATCTTCCTCTTTTCGCCTTTTCCCATTTCCTCTTTTGCCATCTTCCTCTCTGCTGGCTCTTAGCTAGCAGCACAAGGCTCATCCTTACAGAGGATGGAAGCCACAAGGTCGAAATGTAACTGGAACCACAAGATTAAAGCCTGCCTTCAGGACACTACTGTGAACTGAATGTAAGTAAACTTTGCCATTACTTTTAAAGAAGACTGTTGTGTTGCTGTTATTTTTAAGAGAGGGAAAAGAGGGAATTTACCAGGAACAATCCAATCTGGACAAGCCAGACTGCATTGCTCAATTTACGTCCTTACCTCTCTCTCCCTGACCTAGCCACTGTGATCCACGCGACGGTCACCTCCAGACTGGATTATTGTAACTTGCTCTACGTGGGGCTGCCCTTGAGACTGACCCGGAAACTCCAGCGGGTGCAGAATGCCGCGGCGAGACTCCTTACGGGGTCCTCGCTGCAGGATCACATTCACCCAGTGCTATACCAGCTGCACTGGCTCCCGTTGGAGTACAGGATCAGGTTTAAGGTGCTAGTTTTAACCTTTAAAGCCCTATACGGCCTAGGACCCTCGTACCTACGGGACCGCCTCTCCTGGTATGTCCCACGGAGGACCTTACGGTCTTCAAACAAAAACATCCTGGAGGTCCCAGGCCACAGGGAGGTTAGGCTGACCTCAACCAGAGCCAGGGCTTTTTCGGCTGTGGCCCCGATCTGGTGGAACGCTCTGTCACAAGAGACTAGGGCCCTGTGGGACTTGACATCTTTCCGCAGGGCCTGCAAGACAGAGCTGTTCCACCAGGCCTTTGGCCAAGGCACAGCCTGACCCCCTCCTTTGGTGATCCTCATAGAACTCTAGCCCAATGGTTGCCATTAATTTGATTTAAACTGATTTTATAATGAATTGATTTTAGAATGCTGCATTATTTTACTGTTGGTAGCCGCTCTGAGCCTGGCTTCAGCTGGGGAGGGCGGGATATAAATAAAATGTATTATTATTATTATTATTATTATTATTATTATTATTATTATTCTAACAAATCCATCAACTTGCTTCTAACAATGTGCAAGGGAATGTGTTCTGCTTCTTGCTCACTAGCCGGAGTGAGGAGGGATAACATTTAATCAATATATCCTCGCCTACGTTCCTCAACATTCCCACAGGCTCGAACCCAAGACCCTGAGATTATAAGAGTCTCATGCTCTACCGACTGCGTAGTTTTGCTGCAATGTGCTGCGTGCTCCAGCCCCGAAGTTCTCCCGGGGCCCCCAAATACATGCTGACAGCCAGGCAACCTACTCTTCCTTCCCCAACTCACTTGTTAAGCACAACCACCACTGCCACGCCATCCGGGCGTAAGAAGCCCTCGGTCTGTAGTTGGCACTTGCCCAGGAGGCTCTTGCAAGCCAGGAAGACTCGGACGGAGCCTTCCGGGATGAACTTGCTGGGGAGAGAAAAGAGAAATTAGGAGGAGGGTGGCGGGGAAAGAGGATCGACGCCGTGCTCTATACAGCAACCACGTGTCATCAGTATATCTTCACATCTGCATAAAAAAGTACATTTGGGGTGCGAGGGGTAGGGGGAGTCAAGGGGGTGGGTGAGGGGTGAAGGGAGGGGTTGGTCAGGGGTAGGAGAAGGGCCAAGGGGTAGGCAGTAGCGACCAGGAGAGGCAACCCCCAGTATATCTTGTCTTTGAAATACTACTCAGGATTGATCCAGAGCAGAACTCAGACGTATAGTTAGCAGAGTAACAACTTAAACACGTTGCAGGATTCCCCCCAAAATAGGCTAGAGGCAATTAATATTTCATCCAGCAGAGCTTTACTGCTACTGAAGGCAAATGAGCATAATGGTCACAAATCTACTACATTCAGGATTGGCACTGTCCGTAAGAAATCCAGTTGCAGCAGACTTAAACTTACAATAACTTATAATAAGTCTAAACCTTGACATTATAGCATACTATGAACAGAACACCACACCGGAAGGAAAAGAGATGGAAAGTCAAATCCAGGCTCCTTGCGGTCTATTTTTATAGTCAGCATGATCTTGACAGAAAGAGATAAGAGAACCAGTTTAAGCCATCTGTACTCAGCTTCTCTGAAGGAATAACCCAAACATCAGGAACCTTCTGCTTGTTTCTTTCACACGGAGAAGCTTCCAGAACTCTCTTGAATTAAGTAGAATAGGAAAGGTCTCTACACATCCGATCAATACTTTCTGTACTACAAAATGCAAACTGACCTTTCTGTCTGTATGAAGGTGTGTATTGTTCCATGCTACCCCATTCTCTAAGGAGAGCACACCCAGGTTTGTGTTTCTTTTTGGGAATGAGGGAGGCTGATATATGGTTTGTTTACACATATATCGTTACCTGAGCCTACGGCGGAGCCGCACACAGCATTAACAGCCCAAGATAATTATGACAATTAGCATTTTTAATTAAGCTTTAATTATCGTTGTTATGTACTGAAGTTCTCACCCTGGACCAGCAGGGGGATACTACTGTAGATAGTTATGCAAATAAGGGATCGAAAGTGACGTTCAGTGATTGGATAGTTTTAGAAAATTGTTACAGTTACGTTGTACTGGAGCTCTGTATAAGCAGGCTGACTAAACCCTTCAGTTCAGTTCTGTCCTGGCCTGTGAATAAACAAGAGCTGTTTGAAGAATCGCTGTGTCGTCTGATATGTTCACCCACAACTTAACAGTCGTGATTACCAGAACCAAGATAGCTACTTGAAAAGGTACATTATGCCGGTGCGACGGGGCTTCTTTGATTACCCTCAGGGGCATCCTTGGTGGGCAGTTACAGCCAAAGTCACCCTCTGAAGCCTTACCTGAAATGAGCTAAGTGGTAGAACATGGGCTGCTTGTAGAACTCATCTTTTGCAGCATTCACGATGATTGGGCTGTCCACAAAGTTCTCAATGAAGTTGGGTCCCCCGCGCATATCCAGGGCCAAGTTCCAGTCGATCCAACCCACAACATGGTTGCTGATGTTCTGCAAGGGCTCAAAGGGCATAGGTCAGCCAGGGAGGTGGGAGGGAGAAGGGGGTGGCCCACCAAGGGGAAGGGGCAGGGGGCTCCACAGCAGAGCCTGCAAGAGGTCCCAAGGGTCCCATCTCTGGGAAAGGACTTCTGCCAGATTCCCCCCCAAAACCACTTCCATCCAGGGCTGGATCTACACTGACCTGTTTAGCGTTATTTCCTGCTATTATAATTATATTAGATACAGCGGAACCTCGGTTTTCAAGTATCTCGGAAGCTGAATGGCCCAAACCTGGAAGTGATTGCTTCCGTTTTCGAACGACTTCTGCTGCGTGTTTTTCTTTTTTTTCTCAATGGCTTTTGCCAACTGCCCATCGCTCCTCGGTTTTCGAACGTTTCGGAAGTTGAACGGTCTTCCAGAATGGATTATGTTTGAAAAACGAGGTTCCACTGTATGCCGTTCTAAAACATCACAGAGCACACGTGTTCATTAAAATGTTTTTTACCTTGGCTTTTTCCCATCAAGGTAAAGATGTAGGATGTCGTATGTCCATCTATGTTGCCAAAACCATTCATTAACCCTCCCTTAATGTTAAAGAAGGGATGCGGGTGGTGCTGTGGGTTAAACCACAGAGCCTAGGGCTTGCCGATCAGAAGGTCAGTGATTCGAATCCCCGTGACGGGGTGAGCTCCCGTTGCTCGGTCCCAGCTCCTGCCAACCTAGCAGCTCGAAAGCACACCAGCGCAAATAGATAAGTAGGTACCGCTCCAGCGGGAAGGTAAACGGCGTTTCCGTGCGCTGCTCTGGTTTGCCAGAAGCGGCTTAGTCATGCTGGCCACATGACCCAGAAGCTGTATGCCGGCTCCCTCGGCCAATAAAGCGAGATGAGCGCTGCAACCCCAGAGTCGGCCATGACTGGACCTAATGGTCAGGGGTCCCTTTACCTTTAACGTTAAAGAACATGAGTGTAGATCCAGCCCTAACCTGCGTGGGCACCGCAGCGCGTTCGCTCACCCCCACCCCTCAGATGAAGATTTTCGGAAAGCTCCCTCTTCTCAAGTTGCTGCCACAGTGGGCCCATGGGTAGCAGTACCTTACCTCCAAGATATTCTGGCTATACTTGACGCCCCGGTCCCAGCTCCCGAGGTCCACTCTCACGACATTTGGTGGATAACCGTTACAAGATTCCGTGTAGAGCAGGAAGTAATTGGGGAAGAGGGAGTGTGTGGGATCCAAAGTCAGGCTCGGAAGGGTTGTGGGATCGTAGTACCAGTGGATTCCAATGCCTGCAATGTACCTGGCGGAACTGCTGTTTCCAAGGATCTGCCAAAGGAGGGGGCGAGGGCCAAAGCTTTCATTCTTATTTGCACCAGGGAGGAAGGAATTCGAGTGTCCTTTGCCTATCCCTTGGCTTGTGCAGTGGGCGGGGGCAATTTAAAAATATTGTCTCCCATCCCTCCACCCCACCTTAAAGATAATGGCAGGCTGATGTGGTTCTCCTTGCTCAGGCAAACAGAAGATGGAGTGCCGAGTCAAAAGCAGCGTTCCAAAATGATTGGGTGCAGCTACACACCCCTCAACTGCCCCGGTTTTGCCGGGGAGGTCCTGGAATTCGTAAAGCCATCACGACTTGAAATCGCCGCGAGGGAGAGAGAGGTGGTGGTGGCCGATCGCAGAGGCTAGGCAGGGTCTCCAAGGTAAATGCTTGCTTTTTAATGTTAGGTTAGGAATAAAAGGGGAAGCGGGTGGCGCTGTGGGCTAAACCACAGAGCCTAGGACTTGCTGATCAGAAGATCAGCGGTTCGAATCCCCGCTACGGTGGTGAGCTCCCGTTGCTCGGTCCCTGCTCTTGCCAACCTAGCAGTTCGAAAGCACGTCAAAGTGCAGGTAGATAAATAGGTACCACTCCGGCGGGAAGGTAAACGGCGCTTCCGTACGCTGCTCTGGTTCGCCAGAAGCGGCTTAGTCATGCTGGCCACATGACCCGGAAGCTGTACGCCGGCTCCCTCAGCCAGTAAAGTGAGATGAGCGCCGCAACCCCAGAGTTGGCCACAACTGGACCTAATGGTCAGGGGTCCCTTTACCCTTTACCTAGGAATAAAAGAGGGGGGGAGAGGGGAAATGGTGAGTGGGGTGCGGTGGGGTGGTTATGTTTCTGTTCTTCTACTTAGTGTATGTATGGAGTTTTGTGTCAGTGTTACTTGTATGGGTTCTCTTACTATTCACTCGTCGTGTATCCTTGGTGGTGAGAGTGGTTGGGGTGGCCCAGGGTGTGGTTGGTTGTCTTTGGTTGCCTGTAGTGAGATTTGTTTATGTGTGTGAGTGGGGTGTGTGTGTGTGTGTGTTTGAATCAGGTTAGCCAGATTGATTCATATGCTATTGGCGATTTTTGTTGGACTATGTATGTGATGAAGGAGAGCCATACCGGGGTGAAGGTGTCCTCTTCTATTTGGCCCCCTGTCTGTTTCAGTTTATCGGTTAGTTTTTCTAATAAGGCTGTTTCTCATACTACAGTGGTGCCTCGCAAGACGAAAAGAATCCATTCCGCGAGTCTCTTCGTCTTGCGGGTTTTTTCGTCTTGCGAAGCAAGCCCATTAGTGGTTTAGCGGATTAGCGATACAGTATTAGCGGCTTAGTGGGCTTAGCGGATCAGCTGATAAGCGGCTTAGCGATCAGCTGATAGCGGCAGCGATCAGCTGATAGCGGCTTAACGATCAGCTGATAAGCGGCTTAACGATCAGCTGATAAGCGGCTTAACGATCAGCTGATAAGCGGCTAGCGATCAGCTGATAATCGGCTTAGCGATCAGCTGTTACCCGGCTTAGCCGATCAGCTGATAAGCGGTTTAGCGGCTTGGGAAAAGGGGGGAAGGAAAAAACCCCGCAGGAACTCGCAAGACATTTTCGTCTTGCGAAGCAAGCACATAGGAAATTCGTTTTGCGAAGCACCTCCAAAACGGAAAACCCTTTCGTCTAGCGGGTTTTCCGTCTTGCGAGGCATTCGTCTTGCGGGGCACCACTGTATTTGATACCATTGGTCCATGATTACTCCTGACAGGTCTCTCCAGTGTCTGGCTATGTTGTTTGCAGCTGCTGAGAGTAGGTGGGTTATGAGCTCTTCATGAAGTGAGTGGGCATTATTATCTTGGAACATGTTTAGTAGGGCCAGTTCTGAGGTGACCTCTAATACTTGCTTGGTTATTTTGCATATTTCTTGTATGATTGCTGTCCATAGCTGTCAACTTACAGATTTGAAAATAAGGGACCAGCAGTCTCGAAAATAAGGGCTCAGCAGCCAAAATAAGGGATTTTAGTCAACCAGCAGCCAAACGAAGCCTCAAGCGGTGGTTCCCACAGCACAGCAACCCGGCAAAGGGGATGCAGCAAGGAAAACTACCGTCACCTCTCCGCTGGGAAGCGCTGAGCAAAGGCGAGTCCCCAGGCAACGCAGCTGATTTGATCAGCACAAGGCATGCAAGCTCCACCCCCCAGTCGTTCTTAGACTCCTTATTGGGTGAGCAACGCAGCCAAGCAACACAGTGGGAGCCTCCCTCCTCCCTGACCGGTGGGGAGGGAGGAAGAGGAGCTGCTTCCTTTGAAACCCGGGAAATTTAAAGGACATCATCAATAAGGGACAGCAGTGGGACACGGCGCTGGGATAAGGGATTTTCCCGCCAAATAAGGGACGGTTGACAGCTATGTTGCTGTCCAGACGAGTTGGATTTTGGGACATTCCCACCACACGTGGAGGTATGTGCCTGTGGAGGTGACCCTCTCCAGCAATTTGGTGAGGTTCCTGGGCGTATTAGTGCTCGTTTCCTTGGTAACAGCTGTAAGTGAGTTTCAGGGTGAGTTCTTTCCTTTTCGCTGATACGGGTTTAAAGGGAGGTTTAGACCACATTCTAGGCCATTGGGTGGGGTTAATCCAATAGCCTATGTCGTCCTCCCATAGTTTTTTTATTACATCAAGTGGGTTTGTGGGATTTTGGAGCAGCAAGGTAAGTGCTTGTGGCCCGGTCCACATGGATCCTGCCTCTCAGCCCCTCACAATACAGTTGTCCGCTCCAGACTGGGCAACGCAGCCTGATGATGTCATTTGCCAGGGCTCCGCTGTGAACCAGAGGCAGAGAGACAGAGTGATACAGAAGGGCATGGGCTTAAAAGGGCCATGGTGCAGATTGGAGCCAGCGGCCGTGGTGGGTGAGAGGAGGGCAGGAGGAAAGGGAAGGAGGGTTGCTCCCCAGCACTTAGAGTCCTACCCGGTAACGTGCGAGGGAATGAAGAGGTGGCAGTAGCCCCTCTGAACATGTACAGAGTATTTCTGTGACCTTCGCTTCCCCCCAGCCAGTAACACCTTGAATTCCTCAGATTAAAATGTGGGCCAGTTTGGATGGCAAACTGGCATTTCAGATCGCCATGCGGCCTGCCTGCTCATTGGGATCTGGTGGAGGCGGACACCAGGGAGCCAAACAGCAGGCAGACCCAGAGCCAATTTTAGGTGGAGTCAACAATTGCAAGGCCACACTCCCACCCTGCATTTCAGGCACTATGGCACCGCTTTGATCGAGCGCCGCTTTAATGGGAGATAGTGAACTGGGGACCTACCACTTTGGCCCAGTCGAGGATTTCGGACCTCTGGTCATCATACATGATGAGCAGGACATCTTTGTGGGAGCTGGCGGCCAGTTCAGGGCCCAGGTCTAGGATGATGAAGTCTCGCGCCTCTTCGGCCGTCTGGCGGTTGACGGGGAAGTCGCCACTGGGCGAGAGGACAGCACTGTTGGGCTCGTTCTGGGGTGTCACCGCCCAGAAGGTGATGTTGTGTCTGGCGTATTCATCCAGGAACCTGGACCCAACAGATGGAGGAAAGAGGGGATGTTAGCCCCGGCGCTCAGTACATGAAAAGGGCCAGAGCTATGTTTTGGGAGGGGGTTGCGAGGGTCTCAGGGATTTTCTACCCCATCCCCAAATGTTCAGCTTTAAATTTAGATTAAAGTTTCTATTCCTTTTGCTTACAAAGAGGCAGTGGAGCAGTTGAGTAATCCTGGACTTTGGGGTTAAAAGTCCTAATGCAGGCCTTCATCCTTTAGAATTTAAAGTTTTGTTGGTAATGGGCATAGAACCTTCTTTACTGCAGATTATTATTATTATTAGTATTACAGTGCTACCTCAGGTTACATACGCTTCAGGTTACAGACTCCACTAACCCAGAAATAGTGCTTCAGGTTAAGAACTTTGCTTCAGGATGAGAACAGAAATCGTGCTCTGGCGGCACAGCGGCAGCAGGAGGCCCCATTAGCTAAAGTGGTGCTTCAGGTTAAGAACAGTTTCAAGTTAAGAACAGACCTCCGGAACGAATTAAGTACTTAACCCGAGGTACCACTGTATTAGTATTATTATTAGTTGTTCTTGTTGTTGCTGCTGCTACTACTTTGTCCTCCATGAAGGGGGTTCTGGTAAAAGTGTTGGCAGGACCTGAGAAATTTCTGTCTGTTGACATCGGAGGACAAAAGCTCTTAATATATGTCTAACATTCTGGACTTTTAAGTACCGCATTGCATTAATTCCTATGAATGGAACTGAAGTTGCCTTCAGCTAGGTAAAGGTAAAGGGACCCCTGACCATTAGGTCCAGTCGTGGCCGACTCTGGGGTTGCGGCGCTCATCTCGCTTTACTGGCCGAAGGAGCCGGCATACAGCTTCCGGGTCATGTGGCCAGCATGACTAAGCCGCTTCTGGCGAACCAGAGCAGCGCACGGAAATGCCGTTTACCTTCCCGCTGGAGCGGTACCTATTTATCTACTTGCACTTTGACGTGCTTTCAAACTGCTAGGTTGGCAGGAGCAGGGACCGAGCAACGGGAGCTCACCCCGTCACGGGGATTTGAACCGCCGACCTTCTGATCAGCAAGTCCTAGGCTCTGTGGCTTAACCCACAGCGCCACCCGCGTCCCATTGCCTTCAGCTACAATAGCCCTATTCCGCCTGCTGCTAACGTTACATCTTCCACTTTCCCAGACACTTTTACAGTGCGGAAGCTGCTGAAATCGGAAATATGTCTATTACTCTGGTTCATTTCTTTTAACCAGATCTTGCTGTGCACTGATGATGCAAATGCACAAGTTGGACTTTTGCAGTGTTATTTACTTGGAAACTAATAGATGATGCCACTAGATGTCGTGATGTACATTTAAAGTGCAGATTATTTGTGTATGTTTTTCCACCAGGAGGCAGAATGTTGCACTGTGATCTGACCACTTGAATATTTCACATCAGCTAATATATCCCATCATCAAATATACACCATATAGTGCATATAATAACAACATTTTACTATGTTTTTATATATGCTGTAAGCCACCCAGAGTGGCTGGAGAAACCCAGTCGGATGGGGAGAGTATTATTATTATTATTATTATTATTATTATTATTATTATTATTATTATTTATTATTATTTTAACTACCCTTTGCCCTAAGTTCCCAAGGTGGGTTACAACACAATATTAAAAACAGTTTGAAAAAACTTGAAAAAAGGTGGGTCCTAAAAAAAACCCCCGTATTTTTCGCTCTATAAGACGCATCAGACCACAAGACGCACCTAGTTTTTGGAGGAGGAAAACAATAAAAAAAATATTCTGAATCTCAGAAGTCAGAACAGCAAGAGGGATCGCTGTGCAGCGAAAGCAGCGATCCTTCTTGCTGTTCTGGCTTCTGGGATAGCTGCGCAGCCTACATTCGCTCCATAAAACGCACACACATTTCCCCTTACTTTTTAGGAGGGAAAAAGTGAGTCTTATAGAGCAAAAATTACGGTATACAGCTCAGGTCTCAAAAGCCAGGGCAAAGAGATGCGTCTTCGGCATTTGACAGAAGCTGCATAATGAAGGTGCCAGTTGGATCTCTGTGGGCAGGAACTTCCACAATTTAGGGGCTGCCACAGAGAAGGCCCTCTCCCAGGCTGCCACCTGCGAGGGTTGCCATATTCCCAACAGTGAAAATCCGGCTCTCTTTTTTTGGCAAAGCTGTTGAGCTATTTTAAACGAAAATCGCCTCCCACGGCACTGCCTCCGACTGTGTTTGTTCAGGGCTTTAAACTGTGCGAATGGTGCATCCAAAATACTACGCAAAGGGTTAATTCTGTAGCATAAGGATGTCTCACCACAGAAGGCAGTTTGGTCAGTTCGCTCAGCTATCGACCGCTGAGTGAGTTTTAACTGTGAGAGCAGCAGGCGTGCGGTTTGCATGCGGCCGTGTGCCTCAGAGTCAGTCTGCAAATATTAGCCAGTCTCAGATATGAATTCAAGTAAACATGTTTCAGAGACACAAGTTATTATCTACCTGCCTTGTACATTCAATCTGACAAGGACAAATATGCCGAGTCAAAGCCATGTGTTCTTTTAAACTCTAAACCAGTGGTTCCCAACCTTTTTTTTTTTTTTTGGCCATGCCCCACCTAAGCAGATGTCAAGGAAATAAACAACTATCTAACCTTTATAAGGTATCTGAAGTCAGCCCAGTTTAGGGAAGTTTTTAATGTTTGATGTTTTATTGTGTTTTTAATATCCTGTTGGGAGCCACCCAGAGAGGCTGGGAAAACCTAGCTAGATGAGTGGGGTATTATTATTATTATTAATAATATAATTATTAATAATTATTATTATTAATAATAATAATAATAATATCCTGACACACACACACCTGTGACATATAATTTTTATTATTAAAAAAGTGAACTATTCATGTGGAGGAAGCCTAAAATGCCATTCACTGTTAATAACTCATTCTCAAATTGCCCCCTCCCCAAATCAAATTGCCCTCCTGTGGGGCCTGTACCCCACGTTGGGAACCACGGCTCTAAGCCAAGTACCTCCCCGAGAGAAAAACAGTACGACTAAACAGGGTCAAACGAATTCCACACAACTCTGTAAAGTAGAATTACCACATAAACAACAGCATGAGATGCTCAAATTGCAATAAGCCAGCCTTGTTATTCTGGGGGGATCTCTCCTTCTGCTGAGTGGAGCATTTGCCCTCCCCCCCCCCAAGTTCTTGTTGGGGTAATTTGGGATTGCATGTGAAATTGCATTAACCGCTTGGCCTGCGTCTCGGGTACCCCCACGTCTCAATTCGGGGTCAGGGCGCCAGCAGCGTTGGGCTGTTTGAGGCAGCTCCAAGCCACGGGTCTCTGTGGCACGACTCATCCCATCCTCCCTTTCTCCAAAGAACGTGTGTGCGCATCTGCGCTGGTGGACCAACGGGTGTTACCTGACGAAGTAGTGGGCCCACGTTTTGTGGTACATGTCTCCGGCTTTCCCCTTCAGCCTCGATTTGCCCTCCACCTTGCCGTTGACTCTCATCCAACCTGGGCTAGACCACGGACTGGCAATAAGGGAGAGGGGTCGCTTAGATAAGGCCAGGATGCGTTGAAGTAGAGGGATCTACGGGGAGAGGTGATGGGGATCCAGTGAGCAGATCCAGGAGCATCCCAGAGATATTGAAGCAAGAAAAGGTGGGCTACCCTTATGCTATTCATATAATCAGTTATCAGTAATCAATATATTCATATATGCTCACACATAACAGGGCTTACAGTGATTTTATAATCCATTTGAATCAAGAAAAGCTTTTGCCTAAGCTAACTGCAAACTGCTTGGAACCACAAGTCCAGAACCGACCTTTTACCTAGAAACATCCTTGCACCCTAGAGGAAAGGGGAAGCCATGAATCAGAAGACACTGGTACAAACTCCCCCTCAAATCCAGGATAAAATAGTCCACGAAACAGGAAGGGCCAAACCACAAAAACTCCCTACATGAGGCAGAATGCATAGGGGGAGGTAGCGCCAGGAGATTCCCTGCCTAAGTCTCATTTCCCTGTACTGTCAGAACTAGGGAAAAGGTCCATTGTGCAGACAATGGAAAGCAGAAGTTGGGAGTGAACTCTGTGCACGGCCAGGGGCATGGCAAGAGGCGCTAATTGGTTATTTTTCGCTGGCGTGCGTGACTCTCTCATGATTGTCTCATGATCTGTGATTTGCTCAGGTATATAACCTCAGGATTTGTATGCTTCGGGGTCCCAGTCTTTTGGAAAAGATTCCAACTGGGTCCATTATTGCTCAGCAATAAACCCTCACCTTCTTTTTCTCCAAAGCTGTGTCTGTCTGGTCCTTGTTCCGCCCTAAGTGGGTACCACTATATTTTCACGTGCTTCAATATTAGGGCCCATACCTGAGGCCTAGGGGGCCAGCCCCAGGGACGTCATCGAGCGGGGCAGGTTAAGCATGGAGCGCAGTCCCTGGGGGCATGGCATTCAAATTTAAAATGCAGTGTCTAAACCAGGCTTCCTCAAACTCAGCCCTCCAGATGTTTTGAGACTACAGTTCCCATCATCCCTGACCACTGGTCCTGCTAGCTAGGGATCATGGGAGTTGTAGGCCAAAATCATCTGGAGGGCCGAGGTTGAGGAAGCCTGGTCTAAACGAGGAATTTACATTGCTGGATGGAAATGGAGGCAAACCTTTGCTAAAGGTCCAGCGAAGGGAGGGGATCCTTCCTTCTTAACCTGCTTAGGGAGGCCGGGTGGAGATTGTGCTCTCATCCACCTGGGGGGGTGGGGGCAAGCAGGAAAATCCCTATAGACTTCCAAGTTGGGTTTGGGGGTCTGGCAACATCCACAGCCCCACAAAAAGTCACCCCATTGGCCAGGCTCTCCTCTCCTGAGTAGCCTCTGGAGGAATTGCATAAGCCCCTGGGGACTGAGGGGATTTGCAGTTTGAGGGTGTGTGTAGGGATGGAGGCGAAATCCGGTTTGGTTTTTGTCTTTCAGCGCAACACGCACTAATACGCATGGGCTGAGGAAGAGAAATATCCGCCGGAATGGGCACTTCTCTTAAATTTGCAATAAACCAAATAACGTTTATCAAAACGTGTGTTTTAGGGGGAAATGTTGGGGTGGGAAATCCATATTGTATACATATGTATATACAGTGGACGCTCGGGTTGCGAACATGATCTGTGCGGGATGCATGTTCGCAACCCGTACCGTTCGCAACCAGCGTCTGCGCATGCGTGGGTTGCGATTTGGTGCTTCTGCACATGCGCAAAGCACGATTTAGCGCTTCTGCATATGTGCGACCGCCAAAACCTAGAAGTAACCAGTTCCTGTACTTCCGGGTTTTGGCGATCCGTAACCCGGAAAAACGCAGCCTGAAGCGGCTGTAACCCGAGGTACTGTATATACATACATATATATATATATATATATATATGTATGAACATATGCATATGTATATTATATGAATATGTATACATTCATGAAAATAAGATACAGAAATACATTATGTTAGGGAAATCTACTTGCAGAAATGTGTACAGTGGTACCTCGGAAGTCGAGCAGATTCCATTCTGGAGGTCCGTTTGACTTCCAAAACGTTTGGAAGCCGCGGAAGCCAAATCGGGCGTTCGGCTTCCAAAAGAGCATTCGCAAACCGAAACGCTCACTTCCAGGTGTGCGGCGTCCGGGAGCCAAAAACGTTCGACTCGCAAGGCGTTCAGGATCCAAGGTACTTTAGGGGGAAAGTGCATCTTAAAACACTGGTGAATTTTCACGAACTGTCCTGTGGCTGTTCCACAAAGCTACATTTCAGTTTTTAAAACAGAATTTCTCGTTGTAACTTTAGCTCTTCGTTGTTGTAAAACAAGCCTGAACTGCAGTTTTGTTAAGGGTGCTGAGAGTCCTTAGGGTCAGTCAGAAGCCTTTCGTGGCTGTTGAAAGCATCAGCATAAAGCTTTCATTTTTGTGGTGTGAATGTGACCTCAGGTTGGCCCCTGGAGAAGGGAGTCTGCTATTGGTATCTGGGAGAACCACAGGAGGGGACCAGAGGCCTCCTCTTTCAAGCCGGCTCCACTCACTCTGAACCTGGTGTCCTCCTGCGCCAGGCTGAAACATTTCAGCTCAAAGTCGTCGGGGCAGTCGTCGTCGTAAGAGTACGGGCGAGTGGAGAAGTCCGAACAGCCAATGGGCAAGCGCAAAAGGTTGTACTCGATGCCTGCAGCGAGATGGGGAGGGAAACAGGGGACTTTAAGTGAATCGATTTATGGATTAAATAAATACAAAATACAAACCTCTGGATTTGCTTACCGTCTTTGGAGAAGTAGGACCGGAGCAGGCGCTCTTGGGCTGGTGGAGACAACTGCAGGATATTAATTGAGGATGAGTCTGTGTGGGAGCCACCAAAACCTTTAATACACTGGTAGTGAACGCAGGGATTGTAGGAATACAGGAGCCCTTCAGAGGAGGTAGAGATGGAGGGAGTGAGTTAGGTCTGGGAGAAGAAGAGGTTACTAGAGCTGCTCGTAGCCTGCTTCCCTCTGACCCGATCTTGGCCCCCAATTGCCTCTAACCCAGCCCAGAATCGCCCCATGTCCATTGCGGTGGGATGGGGTAAGAAAGAGTTGCTACTTCTTCTTCCTCCGCCCTGACTGAGAGCAGGAGGGTTGACTCCCAGGGCCGTCTTTACCCGGGGGTGCAAGGGGTGTGGGGCACCCGGGCACCGAATTCTGCGGGGCGCCCAGCAGCAGCCGTGGGGTCAGCTGCACCTTTGACACGACTGATCTCACGCTGCCGAGATCAGTCGTGCCAAAGGTGCCGCTGACCCCGAGTGAAACATTGCAAATTGTGTTTTAATGTCATCACTTACAGTTCAAATTCATTTAGAGAATTCATTATAAAAATAATGTTTATTTTCGCTAATTGTCGGCATTTTCTTTGACTAACTACTTAGTACTTAGGGCTCTACTTCACGTGCGTTTCAGCAATCGATTTTAGTTTTCAATTTCCGCAAAAAAGCACCTAGAGCGCACACACACTATGAATTCCGCAAGCTGCATTTTTTCTTCATTTTGCGACAAATGCTAAGCGAGAAACACATTTTGGAGTAATTAGAAATTCATGGGGGCTAAACTAAATTTGGGGGCGCTGGGCAGATCTCTGCACCCCGGCGGCACTTATGCTAAAGACGGCTCTGTTGACTCCTGCCAGGTTTTGTTTCGCCAGCATGTTAGGGATCGACATAGGAGGCCCGCCCTGACGCAGGTATTCTGGGATCAACGTGGAATCAATCCTCCTTGCCCCGCAAATTGGCCTGATGTGGTTCAGGATTTGGCCAAATGTGGTACGCTGTCCTTTATTGTGTTATAAAAATTCTAAAGCGTCACAAATAAAATCAATGTTCCTAAGTGCACAAGGTAAACATGCATACTTATGCTCATAAACCGCATGTCTGAGGTATTGCAGGAGAGCAATCCCAAAGCCAGGACACAGGTGGCACTGTGGGTTAAACCACAGAGCCTAGGACTTGCCAATTAGAAGGTCGGCGGTTCGAATCCCCACGACAGGGTGAGCTCCCGTTACTCGGTCCCAGCTCCTGCCAACCTAGCAGTTCGAAAGCACCTCAAAGTGCAAGTAGATAAATAGGTACCGCTCCGGCGGGAAGGTAAAGGGCATTTCCGTGCACTGCTCTGGTTCTCCAGAAGCGGCTTAGTCATGCTGGAAGCTGTATGCCGGCTCCCTTGGCCAATAAAGCGAGATGAGCACTGCAACCCCAGAATCTGTCACGACTAGACCTAATGGTCAGGGGTCCCTTTACCTTTTAATCCCAAAGCCATGTTGGCTCTCTTAAAAAATGACCCCAGATTATTTTCTCTGCAGTAGAAGGAAAAACATTTCCCAATGGTTCTTTTCACTTGCAATATCCTTCCAAGTTCCTGAGCGTGGATGGACTTCTCACATGAATAGAGGAGCTCTGGGACAATTCAAGAACTAAGCTGTATTTACCATTTCAAAACAGTGGCCCAAACAGGCCAAGATGGGACAGTCAGAAAGAATTATCAGGTATCTTGACAAACAGGAAACAAGCCACACTCTCTCTGTTGTAGACGTGCTTGTAGGTGGTCTTTGGCTAAGGGGCTGGGCAATTTCTGAAGCCCTTAAAAATGGTCACACATCTTTGTTCTGGCTCCCCTCACCCTCTTGCAAGGTGGGGGTGACTCTGTTGCAACAGAAAAATAAACATCTTCCTTGCTTTGACTGGTTCCTGCCTCCACTCATTCTCCTCTGACCAATAATGAACTTAAAGAGTTCGTCTGTCAAAGCCAACCCCAAATTCTTCTTATATCGATCTATATTTATTGAGAGCGTTTGTACCCTGCTCAAAAAAAAAGGCGTAAAGGTAAAGGGACCCCTGACCATTAGGTCCAGTCGTGGACGACTCTGGGGTTGCGGCGCTCATCTCGCTTTACTGGCCGAGGGAGCCGGCGTACAGCTTCCGGGTCACGGGGCCAGCATGACTAAGCCGCTTCTGGCGAACCACAGCAGCGCACGGAAACGCTATTTACCTTCCCGCCAGAGCGGTACCTATTTATCTACTTGCACTGGCGTCCTTTCAAACTGCTAGGTTGGCAGGAGCAGGGACCGAGCAACTGGAGCTCACCCCATCGCAGGGATTCAAACCACGGACGTTTTGATCGGCAAGCCTTAGGCTCTGTGGTTTAACCCACAGTGCCACCCGCGTCCCTATGCATGAAGAAATTGAATGCAATTTAAATAAAAACATGCAAGAAATTAAAGCATTGCAGTTCTTGTCTGCAGGCTTACAGTCTAAGAAAACATGACATGCAAGAGAGACGGGACAAGAAGGGAAGAAAGTAGGAAATTAAATCGGGCACCAGTTATTAGGCAGTTATAATGACCAGCTGGCACAGCTCAGGGACAAGAAGTACTTGATGGAGCTGGGCTTTGGGGATGGCTGATGAGCCTCACTTCCCATCTCTCTCGCTGAGGCAGTCTGGTGGCACAGCTACTCCCAGGCAACAGCGGAGGAAGAGAAAGCCTGATGGAGTGGCATGTTTCTTCCTCCAACCCACCTGTTTAGAGAAGGCCCTCCTTACCTGAGCGTTTCCTGTTTGCCAAAAGCTTCCCTTTGCTTCGCTCCAGGCGCTTGCCAGCCTTGCTGCTCAGGTACTTGACGAAGGTGCCCTCGGGCGGGAGGGAGAGGGGGCCCATCATGTCGCAGTAAGTTGCGTTGCAGACGCACACCATGGCACCAGGGCCGACATGCTTGGGCGCGCAAGGGGAGCTCGCTAGGTGAGAGATGGAAAAGACACAAAGCTGAGCAGCAGGAGGGAAATGGCTCCTTTCAGAGGGGGTGCTCTGCACATGCTCTGAGGTGGCCTTCCCTAACATATTTATTGTTGTTGTTGTTGTTGTTCAAATTTAACAACCAATAACTGTTTTCAGACCCTCCAAGTGTCCCTATTTTCCAGGGACAGACCTGTATGTACAGAAGCCGTCCATTTCTGTTTTGATCCCGGAATGTCCCCCTTTTCCTTAGGTAAAGGGACCCCTGACCATTAGGTCCAGTCGTGGCCGACTCTGGGGTTGCGGCCCTCATCTCGCTTTACTGGCGAGGGAGCCGGCGTACAGCTTCCGGGTCATGTGGCCAGCATGACTAAGCCGCTTCTGGCGAACCAGAGCAGCGTACGGAAACGCTGTTTACCTTCCCGCCAGAGCGGTACCTATTTATCTACTTGCACTTTGACGTGCTTTCGAACTGTTAGGTTGGCAGGAGCAGGGACCGAGGAACGGGAGCTCACCCCGTCATGGGGATTCGAACCGCTGACCTTCTGATCGGCAAGCCCTAGGCTCTGTGGTTTAACCCACAGGGCCACCCGTGTCCCCTTGGACGTCCCTATTTTCATCGGAGAAATGTTGGAGGTTATGTGTTTAGCCAGGGCATTTGCTGACTGAAGGCTACTGTTCCAGGCAACTCAAGATACCTGGATGGAAGACTGCTTTTAGCCGTAACTGCTTTTAGAATGTTTGTATTTTATTTTATTTTATTTTAACATAAATTGCTTTTGGAATGTTTTAACTGTTTTAAGATGCTTCTGTTGTGTTTGTGCTTTTAAATTGTGCCCTGGGCTCCCTTGGGGAGGAAAGGCGAGGTATTATTTCAACAAATTACAAAATAATAATTGCGGTTTCTCTTTTTTCCTATCTTAACTTCAGCTCACCACATCTGGGTTTGGGAAGGGTGCAGCTAATCATAAACTAGTTAATTGCTATTGCAGTTAATTGCTATAACTGTTGTAGGGACGCCCACAGATCCCTCAACATTAGTATAAAAACAAAAAAAAGGAGAAATTCTGGTTGTACACACTGGAAACATTAACACTACAAGGCCTCAACCTTGAGGACAGCACCAGTGTCCCTTAGCTTGCACCCCCTCCAACATTTCTCCGATGAAAATAGGGACATCCTTCAAAAATGACAAGCGTAACAGTCTGGGATCAAATCAGAAACTGGGACTTCTGTAATTCCAGGACTGTCCCTGGGAAATCAGGACACTTGGAGGGTCTGTTATTTCCTGAATTGACGCTAATACAGGCGGAAAGGCAGGATCCTATTGTTAATAATAATGATAATATAATAATAGAAAAGTTGAAAGGGACCATGAGGGTCATCTATTCCAACCCCCAGTTGGAATCTCTTGCCCAAGGTGGGCTCGAACCCACGACTTTGATATTAAGAGCCCCATGCTCTGCCAACTGAGCTCTCTCCCTCTGCCCTAGAGATGAGCAGATTAATAATAATAATAATAATAATAATAATAATAATAAATTTATTATTTATACTCCGCCCATCTGGCTGAGTTTCCCCAGCCACTCTGGGCGGCTCCCAATCGAGTGTTAAAAACAATACAGCATTAAATATTAAAAACTTCCCTAAACAGGGCTGCCTTCAGATGTCTTTTAAAGAGAAGATATCTGCTTATTTCCTTCACATCTGAAGGGAGGGCGTTCCACAGGGCGGGCGCTACTACCGAGAAGGCCCTCTGTCTGGTTCCCTGTAACCTCACTTCTCGCAATGAGGGAACCACCAGAAGGCCCTCAGCCCTGGAACTCTATGTACATTTAATAATAATAATAATAATAATAATAATAATAATAATAATAATTTATACCCCGACCATCTGGCTGGGTTTCCCCAGCCACTCTGGGCGGCTTCCAACAAAACATTAAAATACAATAACCGATTAAACATTAAAAGCTTCCCTAAACAGGGCTGCCTTCAGATGTCTTTTAAAAGTTTGGTAGTTATTTTTCTCTTTGACATCTGGTGGGAGGGCGTTCCACAGGGCGGGTGCCACTACCAAGAAGGCCCTCTGCCTGGTTCCCTGTAACTTGGGGCTCTTTGGGGCTCTTTGTTGGCACTGTTCAAACTGGATCAAGCCAAGGGGCCCATCTAATCCAGAACCCTCTTCTCAGAGGGCCCAACCTTATGCCTTCATGGGAAGACTGCAAGTCAGGCCAGGGTGCAAGGGCATGGAATGGGGGTGACTGCTTCCCCAGCCTGACTCTTCCAGAGAAGAAGGAGGCAGCTCAAAATTACAACAGGGGTTTGAGTGAAGCTCACAGCTCAGAGGAAGATGAGGGGGAAAGTTGGGAAATAATGGGAGAGGAGGAGGAGGATGAGCGGGCAGAACCAGAGCAGCTGGCTGACACGTTATCACTAGAAAGCATTCCAGACCCACCATCTCCCAGAACCCGGCGAGCCTTAAAAGTAGGAGAGCAAAGTGCTCAGAAGCAAAGGGGCCTCAGCGCCATCCGTAGAAAGGATGACGAATTAGGATGTGGGAGAGAAGGGGAGGGGAGATTTACTCCGGGCAGCGCCATTATTCCAAGAGGCTGCATTTCCAACCCTCTCTCTGTAAATATTTTTTTTTATTTTATTTTATTTTAATAATACAGCAAAAACAGAACATCAACAGAAGGGGGGGGATGAAATTTAAAAAGAACAAAGAAACACAGTTCAGAAATATTGAAAACAAATATACTTGTTGCATAGCATTTCCCCCACCCCCACCCGCGGCTTCTCTCCGCCACAATTCGACTTCTTTAAATCTCTATCTCCACATTTATCCTTGCATTCTCCAAATATATCGTTGTTTGTACTTCTTTTATCTCTTTCCTTTTCCAGCTCGTACATATACTTTACATTCTTACCCTAAGCATATTAGCACATCTTTCTTAGAAAAATATTTTAACGTATACTATATTTTTCGCTCTATAAGACACACCAGACCATAAGACGCACCTAGTTTTGGGAGGAAGAAAACAAGAAAAAAAAAATTCTGAATCTCAGAAGCCAGAACAACAAGAGGGATCGCTGCGCAGTGAAAGCAGCAATCCCTCTTGCTGTTCTGGCTTCTGGGATAGCTGCACAGCCTGCATTCGCTCCATAAGATGCACACACATTTCCCCTTACTTTTTAGGAGGGAAAAAGTGAGTCTTATAGAGCAAAAAATACGGTAATCTTCTAAACATTCTCTCTCTCTGTAAATATTGAATAAAAGCAGATGGTAAGGACTTTTCCTTGTCTTATCCGTTCCTGGCGACCTGCCTTGGGGGTTGGTTCCTCTGCCGCCTGATACTCCAGCTCCCATCAGCCCCGGTCGGAATGGCCAATGGGCAGGGATGATGGGAGCTGTAGTTCAGCCATGTTCTTAGACTCCGACTCCCATGAGCTTCAGCAGCAACAGGAGAGCACCAGCTTCCCCTCTCCCTGAAACAGAGGGCTGTTCTCTCTAGAGCTGCCCTTAGATGACCCAGCCCAGCAGCGCTCTTGAATCTTTATGTCTCACCTCCCTCACAGTACAGTGGCCCTTTCCACTCACCTGTGGCACCTGCGACCACCTGAAGGAGGAAGAAGAGGAGGAAAAGGCTGGCCCCCACAGTCCTCATGCTGCTTTCGTCAAATCTTGAGAGAAGTCGCACCTATGTGCAGAAGGGTTGAGACCTGCTTATCAGGAAATCACACACACACACATACACTTTGACGTAACCCAACAACTGCCTTGCAATGTGACAAGACCCAGTGCAAGATAGGGAGCGTTTCCCAACCTATGTGCCACGTTGCCTTCTGCAAAACCTTCCAGGGGCCGTGTGCCAGTGGTGTGCGGTGTCAAAGGAAAAGTGGGTGGGGCAAATAATGCCAGTCTTACCTTAGTGCAGTCATATCTCATGTTGAAGATATATACAATATACGATATCTTTATTGTCATTGTCCCATGCAGAACAATGAAATTGAAAAAAAGATGCTTCAGGTTGAGCGTGTTCGGGTTGCGCTCTGCGGCGACCCGGAAGTAACGGAACATGTTACCTCTGGGTTTCGCCACTTGCGCATGCGCAGAAGCGGCGAAACACGACCTGCGCACGCGCAAATGCGCAGACGTGGGTTGCGTTCTGCTCTGGATGCGAACGGGGCTCCGGAATGGATCCCATTCGCATCCAGAGGTACCAGTGGTACCTCGGGTTACAGATGCTTCAGGTTACAGACGCTTCAGGTTACAGACTCCACTAACCCAGAAATAGTACCTCAGGTTAAGAACTTTACCTCAGGATGAGAACAGAAATCGCGCAGCAGCAGTGGGAGGCCCCATTAGCTAAAGTGGTACCTCAGGTTAAGAACAGTTTCAGGTTAAGAACGGACCTCCAGAACGAATTAAGTTCTTAGCCAGAGGTACCACTGTATACAGTAGGCTAGTTTTGAGCTGCACATTCAGACACCCAATTCTCTACCCAGGAGGCATCGTGAGAGGTCAACAGAACAGTAGAGTTGGAAGGGACCCCGAGGGTCATCTAGTCCAACCCCCTGCAATGCAGGAATCTCAGCTAAAGCATCCATGACAGACGGCCATCTAACCTCAGCTTAAGAACCTCCAAGGAAGGAGAATCCACCACCTCCTAAGGAAGACCGTTCCACTGTTGAACAGCTCTTACTGTCAGAAAGTTCTTCCTGATATTGAGTCAGAATCTCCTTTCTTGTAACTTGAAGTCATTGGTTTGAGTGCTACCCTTCTGAGCAGGAGGAAACAAGCCTCCTTAATCTTTCACGTGACAGCCCTTTTGATATTTGAAGATGGCTATGCTATCTACTCTCTGGACTCAGCTCCATCAGTCAAGAAACAACACTTTGAATGCGTTATAAACATGCACCAGCAGATGGCACCAGAGAGCAAAAAAAATTCTATGTGATTTTTACATAGGGTTTTTCTTTTTCTTTTGTTATAACTACCGTATTTTTCGCCCTATAGGACGCACCGGCCCATAGGACGCACCTAGTTTTTTGGCTTGAGGAGAGCTGCGTGAAGCCTGGAGAGCGAGAGGGGTCGGTACACACCGACCCCTCTCGCTCTCCAGGCCTCAGTGAAAGCCTGCATTTGCCCCATAGGATGCACACACATTTCTCCTTCATTTCTGGAGGGGAAAAAGTGCGTCCTATAGGGCGAAAAATACAGTACTTAATTTCTAACTTATTGATGGCATTCCCCCCCACATCCCTCGTGTGTACATCCACTCTCAGTCTCCTCTTTTCCAGGCTAAACATACGCAGTTCCCCCGACTGTTCCTCATAAGGCTTGTATAATGGTATGGGGTTGCTCGTGCGTAAGTTGCCGCCTCTCCTGGCTATGTTGCCTTGTCAAACCTTTCTGTCTGGACAGCCCTTCAATTCGTGGCTGCCTCAGTCGCTAGCAGAATCCATCAGTGGGCGTTTCTTAAACCTTTTCCAACATAAAAGTTGTTTGACACCCAGTCTCCTCCTACTTTCTCTGAGCGGAAGTCTTCTGCGCAGGGAGGGCGTGGGTAGCGGAGGACCAGTGCTCTCCCCGCTGGTGTCCGGTGAAGAGTCTGGGAGCCCTCTCGCCGATTCCCCCATCTGCCCCTCCTTATTCCTGGTGTTGCACTGAATTGCTCCCCATCTGCTGAGCTGCCTCTCTCCCTGCTGGGCCCTTCTCCAGCATCATTAGAGAGCCTCCCCTCCACCTCTAGCTCTGATGTCAATTCCCTGACAGCTTGGTTTCCAGACCCTCGATCATCTTGGTTGCCCTCCTCTGCACATGTTCCGGCTTGTCAACACCCTTCTTAAACTGTGGTGCCCAGAACGGGACACAATATTCTGGGTCAAGGACATGTTCCAGCCAGGGAAAACAGGACTGGTTAGGGGTATATATGCTGTGATGAGAGGGGTCATGGCTAGTAGGGAGAGAGTCCTAGAGGGCTGCATTTGGCCTCCCGGCCCGAGGTTCCCCATCCCTGTGTTGGACTATGATCTGGGAGAGCAGGGTTCGAATCCCCATTCAGCCATGAAGCTCACTGGGTGACCTTTGGCTCAGGCACCATCTGTTAGCCTTACCTACCTTGAGATGCTTGGAAGATACAGGTAGTATATACATGTAATATACAGATAAATAAATAATATATTGTTTTGATTTTTTTCTGGTTTTTACATTTTTTGTTACCTGTATATATTTACAAGAAATATTCAGGGTTTTTTGTTTCTGAGTTTTTGTGTGTGTGTGTGTGTGTGTGTGCACTAATGAGGTTGGGAGACTCCCGAACCCCAGCTGAGCCAGCTACACACACACACATACACACTACACCAGTGTGGTGTAGTGGTTCAGAGCAGTAGATTCGTAATCTGGTGAACCGGGTTCGCTTCCCCGCTCCTCCACATGCAGCTGCTGGGTGACCTTGGGCCAGTCACACTTCTCCGAAGTATCTCAGCCCCACTCACCTCACAGAGTGTTTGTTGTGGGGGGGAAGGGAAAGGAGAATGTTAGCCGCTTTGAGACTCCTTAGGGTAGTGATAAAGCGGGATATCAAATCCAAACTCTTTGTCTCTTTTTTGCTCTTCCAAATATGGCAACCCTAAGTAACGGCCAGAGGGGAGGGGAGCTTTACTCTGCGCAACATCAGATTGAGAGTAAGATGCTTTTTCTGAGTTGTTGTATTCCAGTTGAAATAAAAGAACTGAAAAGTGTGCTCTCTCTCTCTCTCTCTCTCTCTCTGTGTGTGTGTGTGTGTGTGTGTTTCTGATTTCCTGGGTGGTTAGCCAGGAGCCATTGACAACATGACATGCTGCCATCCTCTGGGCCAAAGCTGCAGTCCAAACATCGACCTGGGATGAACCTATTGTACTTGTACTTTGTACAATTTATTAAGTACAACCAAACCTCAGTTCCTGGACGGCTCCGTTTTGGAACATTTCGGCTCCCAAACGTCGAAAGCCCGGAAGTAAATGCTCTGGTTTTCGAACGTTTTTCAGAAGTCGAACGTCTGACGCGACTTCCGCTTGAGTGCAGGAAGCTCTTGCAACCAATCGGAAGCTGTGCCTCGGTTGTCAAACATTTCGGAAGCCAAACTGGCTTCTGGAATGGATTACATTCAACAACCGAGGTTTGAAGTATAACACTTCTGGCAGGCAGAAATGATGGAGTGGATTTCAAGCGCTTTAGGCAGTCCCCTTCTTCTTCTTCCCATTGTAATAGGAATTTTATGGTCTTAGATACCGGTATATGGTAATGTTCATAAGTGTACCAACCAAGCACATACATAGATCAGCACAGGAAGGCCAACCTGGAACCATTTTGATTCCTAAACTGACCAAATCTTTTCTCTGCAAGGTCAAAATGGAAAAGCCTCCCCATTGTCTTTTCCTTCACAAATCCTGTCTGTGTTTGAATAGGGTGTGAGCCTGTGACCTGGTCCAGGAACTAAGTATTTATCATTACAAAAGACTGGCCAGGCTACCCAGGCAATCCAATCAAGTAACCTGCCAGACAGGAGATAAACAAGGACAAGAGATAAACAACATTTAAATTTCTGCTTAGACCGCCTTTTCTGTGATGTAGGTATGATGTATCTGAGGGGTGGTCTTAGGTTACATCCCTTCTGTCATGTATGTAAAAGTCTTTATAAGGCCTTGCACACCATTTTTCTGGGTCCTCCTCCTTTCCTGCATGTGAGGGGAGCACCCTGTTGCAACAGATCAATAAAGATCAGGCTTACTAGCTGCTTTGCTTCTCAATATTCTCTGGTTGGCCTCTGTTATTTTCTCCTACCAATAGGGAACCTATGTAAGGACTCTATATGGGCTCTTGGATACCCCATAAGGGAAAAGGGCAATTTTTGTTTACAACACCATGATCGTTCAACTCCCTGGAATTTTAGAGGCCCAAACTAGCTTCCTTCCTGATTCCAGTGCCAACTCAGCCTGCCCTGCCTTTTGCACCAGACTTGGCTAGACCTTTGCATTAACTCTGTTTCTCATTTTCCCAGTTCCCCATATTTTTCATTTTTGGGATAAGAAAAGGCGAAGGGGTAAACCCTACACAAATCTGGAGTGGAGTCTCTAAGATGGTTGGATGGTGCCTTGTACGCCTCCTTCTGGCGACTCCTGCAGCCTAGCTGGTACCAAACTTATTGCTCTGCTTTCCTTTGGACCACATCAGCAAGGTCAAAAGGGGGAAATTGCCGTCTGGGCAGCCCAGGACCTCCATACACACTGGCCAGGACTGCTCCCTGGAGAGGTTATTTTGGTTCTGCTAACGCAGCAAAAACAGCACAGGAGGCAGCAGTTATGAGTTACCAGTCTCTGCAGCCACAGCAGGCGCTGCGATTCTCCAGCAGTTTGACTTCACCCCCGAAGGCACATTCCATGATTTTTCGATACAGACAGATGCCAGCAACACACATTCTGCAGCCATTTGCAACTTTTATATTTAAAAAAATCCTCATGGAAATCTATCAGCATTTCGGAGCCTGTTGGATTGTGCCATCATAGTCCAACACATATTTAGCCATTCTCAATGTTAAACCTTCATTCCACTACACAGCCATTCAATTTCAGTGTCCATTAAACCAATTATACTTAACAATTCTGAAATTGTGTACACTGAAAT